TTAGGATTTCCTTGTTCGTCCATCTAGCCGGGCTTGGGTTTCTTTTCTTTGAGGCGAGATGTGCGGTTGGCTCCATACCAGAGGGGCTTGGGGGGTTGGCTTTTTCCTGTGACGAGAGGAGGGATATGGGTTTTTTGTCGTCATAGCTAGTACTCCATACGTTTTTTGTACCCTAAACAAATAATCAATGAGTTAAACAAAAAAAAAAAAATCCTTAGCTTTCAGAATCATCAGCGAATGGAGAAGTGATCTTATCAATATATTCGTTATACTTTGATACATACTTTTATTACAAGCTTTCTTGACCACTCTCCGAGAAACCTTATTGGCCCCAGTTACAATTCGTTCAACTTAGAATTGGCTGCCGCCTAACAACAACTTCTTCTTATTATTCTTTCATATAACTATTTACTACTTTATCTTCTTCCATGCCAATTTAATTACCCACTTAATATAAGGTATCCAAAAACATCTTCCATAGCACTTACAGATAGAATGGAAAAAATTATTCAAGTTAAAAAAATAATATTTTTCTTATATATCTAACAAGATTTTAATTTCATTTTCAAAGATATCATACTGAATTATTAGAAATTATGTATTGTAATAACTATTACTGAATACTAATAAACATTTAACTATTAACCTAAATAGGTCTTCAATAACTATCTCTCACAAAATGTACAGAGTCTATTTCTATAAAGACAACTGTTTGGACATATAAACAGCTACTAAAGGTTCCTTTTCCATCAAGTACTAGTAGAGTCTTAGTATGTTTTATTCATATCTAAGACAATATAGCAGTCTAAAATATCAAATCTTTATCTGCCCACCTCCCAGCTATAGTACAACTTGTCAGTGTGATAGTTCAGTATATTATAAGTGTACTAATTATATACGCACAAAGTTTCAAGTTGATAAACCACTGTTAATATTACAAGTTAAAGGCAATTGCAGTATTTTTAATACTCCTACTATCATATTTCTCAGAAAGGAATTTGTTGAATTTCCTAATTCATTTCATATGTATATTCTCCTTGATAATATCGTATATTTCTCTACTTAGTATTATTTCTATATTATGAACATTACTACAACTGGAGTATGTATTACGTATATTTCATTTGATATTTCATGATATGATTAGGGGATTATTGTATGCTTTCTTATCTAGTATTCAGGTTTGTTTCTTACAGTTTATCCGCTCATACTACTTTAGTTATACGCATGATTTATGGGATTTCCTTGGCAGATCCTCAGGGTCAAACACGTTCACACTTATGTTTTCCTACTTATGTTACAGTCAAACATGTCAACACTTATGTTTTCCCTTATATTTTCTCTTGGTCACTTGAAGGATGCACACCTGTATAAATAGGCGTTATCATCCATCTTACTTAAAGAGATTAAGGACAAGAAGTACTACCAATCTACCTTCATACCAAACTCCTCCTCGCTTAACGTACCCATGGCATACTCTTTCTACCACGTCGTATTTTTGTACAAAGTTATTAAGATAGTGCTGTACCATACACATTTGAACAGAATTTATATCAAGATTGCAATTATTCTAAAATAAATTTAACAGGTCCATCAGAATTTCTAGCTACTTTAGCTTAATATTTTCTTACTTACAGTATGTTAGAACCCTTATATTATGAATCTGATAGTAATAGGCTCCCCGAAACTCAATATACAAAGGCACACTGACATAATTATGATACCTCATTTACTGTAGACCACTCTTCACTTCCACGATGCCAGACACTCCCATCAAGACGTGTTCACATCATATCATATACCCAGCGCATCCATTCATTCGTTCGGCAATACACGAGCCCGTGCGTCATAGCTACAATAGCTACGTTTCTGAAATTTCCTCAAATACCTCCCCCACAATCATCGGCAATCAACAGCACACAAATATAAACAAGGGCCTTAAATCATATTTCTTTCCAACCCGAGAGATACAGCACGAGATATTATATAAAATAGTAGCAGTAGCACACCTCTAATGCTGGCGGAAGCTCCAAAATGAAATTCCTATCCACCAGCACATTTCCTTCAAACCAATAAACAAAATCCAGCATCACATATGGGGAATCTACAAAGCAGAGCATTATAGAGAAAGCCAAACTCCTTCATAAAAAAAGGAAAAAAATAGAGCAAATGTGCAAAGAACAGAAGAAAAACCGCCCAAATGAAATAAAATAAAAAGCCATTTCACGGATCGAATTAATATATTCAGCTAAGCCAGACCACACCGCCATATAGCCCGATACCCAGCCTCCCACCCCACCAACCGACCAGTCCGTATCATCAGTTCCCATGAATCACCATCTCGATACACCAATTATCACTCGCCAGAACATATTCAAGGACACCGCAAGAAAAGAGACTACAGCAAACGACAGGTAATTGAGATGTAAAATGAAGAAAAGAAAAGAAAAGAAAAAGAAAAGTCCAGATTTCCCCAACAATGCGATTGACCGGTTATTTGCACATGAAGAATGTAAAGAAACACTAAGAAGTAGAGAAAATCACAAAAGACAAGGTCATTACCACATGTCGTCGCTCGTAGGCCTCGGTTCGTGTGATGCTGGCTTCGCGCTTCGTGATTTTGATGACTTGCTCCCGTCCCTGTCTCTATCACGCTCCCACTCGCGTCGGGGTTCTGGCTGCTGGTCGTAGTAGCCGTTTCCATCCTCCGGTGGATGTTTGGATGTGTATTGCGCTGCGCGGGATTGCGGTCTGTCCGTGTCGCCGGCCTCGTCATCGTACATTTGGGAATCATCGACGTAGTCAGATTCGTTAGAGCCCTAAAAAAAAAATAAAGAAAAAAAATCACAAAAGCAAAGAATGTCAGTCACATGTTTCCATACTAGGCCCTTTTTCTACTGTCCAGAACGTACATTATCATATTGGTAATACTGGCCACCCTGTTGCTCTGACTGTTGCTGCTGTTGCTTTAGCTGTTCCCTTGACGGCTGGCTAATGGTTGCCTGCTGGACCAGATGCGGTTGTGTTTGCTGCACCTTTGCGAGGTAGGAATACATAAAGTTGCTGAGTAGCACCTGTTGTTGTAGAGGCCTCCTTGGGTTGGCGAGTTTTAAATGCGAGAGACGATAGATGGCGCGCTCAATATGGATCGGGAAACGAGTATAGTAATATGTCTGTTGTGGTTGGTGCTGCGCCGGATCCGGGGAGACCCCCCTAGAGCTACTACCCTTGGCCTTCTGAGCACCATCACTACCAGACTTCTTCCTTGAGCCCCCAAAGAAGGAGAACAATCCCTCCTTCTCTTTCTTATCCTCACTCCGGGATTTCCTAGCTTCCTTCTCATCCGTCTTGGCCCCATTGGTATCACTGGTAATGACTTTCCCTGTATTACCCAAATCGATAGACTTCTGCAGCAGATCCAATCGAGTGTTATCATGCTTATCAGCTGATTTCGGGCGCTTCTCCTTCTTCACTTTGGTCTTCTCTTCCTTATCCTTCTTTTCATGGTGGTGGTGGTGGTGGTGGTGGTGGTGGTGGTCCTTCTCCTTCTCTTTTGTTCTGTCTGCTGAATCCCCAAGCAACCATCCCCAGCTTGACTTGCGCCCTGTGCTCCCATCATTACTACCCGCTGAATCAGGTCTCTTTCTCTCCTTCCCATCAGCCTTCCCGGGGTCTAAGAGCGGTGTTGGTTGTTCAGGGCCTCTGTTAGGTGGTGCAGTAGGTGACGACACCACCTCAGTGACAACTTCCGAGGCTTGAGTCCTCTGTAACGCAGGTCGTTGGGGTTTCGCCTGCTTGAGTGCCTGCGGCACTTGCTGGGAGGCCAGTTGGGGTGGAGGATCAAATGATGAATGCCGTTCAGGAATAATCAATTTCTGAGGTTGCTCTGGTGGCGGGGTTTCAACGATTACGGGAACCGGGGGTATAGGCTCACTCTGCCGAGACCTTGATGAACCCTTAGGAGATGATGCCCTCCTCTGCTTAGCAGGCACAGATTTACGTTTTTCCGACGATTTGACAAGGTCACCAACAGAAACAGACAAACCACCAGCCTTCGCAGCAGATCCCCTCTGAGAAGGACGTCTTGAGTAATCACCTGGTTCATCCTTATGGGCAGCCGGCAAGGGTATCGGCTCAGTTGATACCCGCTCCAGCCGGAATCCACCCCTGGGAACTATTGGCGAAGATGCCGGAGAGCTATCCTCCGCATCCGTCTCCGACGATCTAGCAGCCCTCTTAGAATAAGGAACTCTTTCCCCCTTCCGCAAACTTGCCCTCCTGTAAGTCGTCCTAGTCGATCTCCTAAGAGCCGCCCCCCCAGGTGCAGCATTCAGAATTGGCATGTCCCCCCCTACAATCAATGTGATTAGAAACCGCTCCACCTCCACTGCAAGCATTCAATACAAAGAGAACTCGTTCGCTCCCCCGGTTTCCTTACCTTCTTCATTCCTCCTTTCTACGCTGAGCTTTCGCATAAGGCTACTGGGATCACTCATCAAGTCCTCCAGTTGCACACTCGGCCCTTCCCTGTCCGACTCCCGTCTCCCCAGCCTCTCAGCACCATCCCGGTATCCCCTAACACCCTCCGAGCGATCAATCTGCCTCGATAACATGGACTTCTTCCTCCGCAGCGAGGGGCTACCAAAACCGGGTCCATCCGGCGATAAAGACCCATCCCGTTGCGGCCTCCGGATCTCATTCTTCTTAGCCTCTAGGTAGGCACTAAACTCCTTAGGAGCCAACTCCGGGTGCAAGCTCGCCGGTACCCAGAACACACTCCCGGGATCACCACCGTCTTCAGGGGGCGTCGAGGGAACAAAGGTGTTAAAAGACGGCAAATCGGGATCCGCCGACGAAGTAACATCCATAGACATCCGTCGGAGAGCCTGCAGGTTACTTATCTCCTGAGCCACGGCAACAGGATCAGATTCGTAGTCAATGTCGTTCAGTGGAAAGGGTTTGTTAGCGGTGTCACCGATGGAGGATGACGGTGATCGGATGGATAGGGTTGGCGAGCTGGGGGGAGCACGTTCATTGCTTCTGGGTTTACCATTGCCCCAGTCTTTAGACGATAGGGCGGGGGAAGCGGCGGCGGTCGATGACGAAATCATGGAACTATGTCTGTTTCGTGAGGCTCCGGTGTTGGAGTAGGAGTCGGGTGGGAGAACAAAACTTTGCCGTCGGCCATCCTCGTCTATGTACTCGCCGTACATATCACCTATAGCTTCCGTAACATGATGATCAGGGTCAATGGATAACCGGGTTTCATGGCTAGAGGGGACGCCTCTGGAATCGCGTGCCCGTGATGTAGCCTATAAATTGCGGGACGAGTAAGCTTCTCATCACGTCCCATAAACCAATCACGACAGCGGAAGCAAGATGGAGCAAGATTTCCCTTTTAAATTTTTCCCCCAGCGGGGGGACACAAAAAGCGGCATGGGGGAGCGAAGGACAAAGGGATCTTGGACACACACGTACCTTCATGGACGAGCTGTGGGATGTTTTGAGATGGAGGTGAAAGATAGCGAGAGCCTAACCGTGGGCCTCCGGAGTGACAGTTCTTGAGCTAACAAGATGTGGTCATCTGCTGCTGCCTCCGAGGTGGTAGGTTGCGAAAGGGTGAATCTTTTCCGGATCGAGTGCGGTGGGGGGGGGGGGCGTGGAAGAGGGAAGAGGGAAAGAGGTTTAGGGCGGATATGTAAGTGAGTACAATAGTAGTATTGATTGTTGAAATCGTCGGGCCCGTGAGGAAGGAGGGAGAGCGGGTATGGGTGTGGGGGAGGGGGGGGGATCGTTGGAGTGCGGGTTGAGGGTTGAAGAGAGAGACAAGCCGGACGGACGAAACGTCGTTCTAGCAGAGGCTCATGCAACGCCTCCTCCCCTGTTTCTCCTTTTCCGGTCCTTTTCTTCTTCCTCGCTTCTTCCCCTCGATTCCTTCCGTACAGCACGGTGCTTTCCCCTAATATCAGAGGCCCGTCGTTCTCCTAAACGGAAAGATATGCAGGAAGGCTACAGTAAAAATGGAAAGAAAGAAAGATGGAAGCAAAGGAAGAAGTGTTTATCGCGCAGTACCCTGGCACCCCTTCGGAGGAAATTAAAAAAAAAATTGTTGTCGATGCTCCTCACCAGAGATCTGGCAGTGAACGGCTGGCTGGCAGGTGCGTCCGCAAGGGAGTTTGGCCGGCTTCCAGCGTTCCACAAAACGGAGAGGAGGGGAGAAAGGATAAAGCCTGCCTGCTGCCTCTCCGCTTCTGCTCGCCTTCAAAGCTCAAGGGGCAAGTGCAATAATCTCGCTTCTCCAAAATACCGGTAAACTCTCATGAAAAAGGTGAGAATTCGAAGAATGACCCGACGCCTTCTCCCAGTAAAGCGGGACAGAATAAAATACTGTAGGAACAAAATTCTCGGGGAAAATCTCTCTCTCCAGGATAAAAATAGAAGATGAAAAAAACATCACGAAGAAAAGAAAAAAAGAAAAGAAAAAAAACAGCGGTGGGCACCGGTACGAGTACTCGACCACCGCAGTGCATCACGAACACCGAACAGTTCGAGTACGTACAGTACCTCACTTCACGCCCATTCAAAAAAAAACAGGAAATCACCCAATCACCCGCCAATTCTCGCCCCAACCGTCACAGCCCACCCACCCCGATCCAGTCAATCATCTCATATCACAAGATTAAGTTACCGCTATCACGCCCCGTAATATAACACCATCCATCCACCCATCAATTTTCTCCCCACCACAGCCAGCCCAGCCCGACAACGGCAGCAACGGTGACAACAAACGTGTTACTAAGCGCTCCCCGCGCCCCACCCAGCACATTTCGTGTCAACCCAATCCCGTCTACCGGTAACCAACTCGACTTGACGCGCGCGCGAACATGTAGAACAAAGAACCCGAGAAGAGTGGAAAAAAAAAATACCACAACTCTTCACCACGATCCAATGATATCCATCGCCTTTCAATCATGACAATACATCAATTCCATGTACTGTACAAAACATATCATGCACACTAGAGTAAGATACAAGGCAATGAACTCTTAGAACCCCCACCCCCTACCCCCCAATAAATAAACAAAAAAAAAAAAAAAAAAAAACTAAATCACGGATGTACTGCGGTTACCCTATTACCCGAGAGCACATGACCGGTGCATGAGATATCACTCGAGTGGGATGATATATTGTACCAGCACGGTACGGTACCGTACAAAGTGAAGTCGGAAGAAGAGGGTGCCAACGGCGTTTTCTTCTTCTTCTTCTTCTCCTCTCGATCCTTTTGTATCGGACTGGGGTGGGGGTCTCGAAATCTCAAGGGGCTTTGGGAGTAAAATTTCCCCTATCTCTGTGCTATACTCTACCCTGCCTTATTCTTGCATTCCAATCTATGGCACAACTCCCCGCACCCCGGGCGGTGTGGAGATCCCACCGGAAGCTGTCTCTATTCTATTCTCAACCGAGTGCCAGGGCTGCTGACGCTACCTTCCTCCCTCCCTTCCATCCCCCTGCCTGGCCCGCCCCGCCCCGGCCTCTCGGGTACGGTATGCTCCACCGTTAACGGGCAAAAGCGGGGAGATGGTGGTGTGGAAGGGAAAGGGCAACACATCTGATTAGATCTTCATACTCGTACCGTAGCCTGTTGCATTTATTTATTTATTTTCCATCACGCACTCTACTACGGTATCGCACTTATGATACTGTAAGTTACTCGCACATATCACACCGGTATGATACAAAACATCAAAACAAGCATTCCCAAAAGTATTGCGAAAAACCAACCAATACAAAGTGACCCCCCCTCATAATACTATAATTAAAAAAAAAAAAAAAAGAAGTCTCCCCGTGGCAAGTATCATACGGTACCACCCCCCACACACATGCACACACACATACGGTAAGGCTACGATACCAGCAGGTCACACTCGCCATCTCCCGAAACAAGATGTCTAAAAAAATTAAAAAAACCGTCAAGGCTCGAGATACCATACGCCAGGACGCCATCATACGGGTGTATGTATCATGGCATCCACCCACATCATGAGGCTTTTCCACAAAACTTTTTGTACAGTACGTTACCGTGGCGTACGGTACCGGTAGTCTGCATACATACATACTGTACAGTTACTTACTGTAGGGTACAGTACAGTACTCTATCGCGTCACAAGACCACCATGCCCACAAGCTCCAGATGCGAAAAGGCCAAAACATATATTTCCATCCCATCCCATCCCATCCCATCCCATCCCATCTCACTTGAGTTGAGTTAGTTGTGGTAACCGATGGCTGGCTGGCTAGCTAGGTAGGTAGCTGCGTTAAAGCTCGACCCGTCGGATCGTACGGTACGGTACCTGCCAGACCCGAGCGTAACGTAACGTAACGTAACGCAACGGATCATGCAAGGGATCAATCAACGCGATGGCGGGTCAAGTTGTCATATCGCGGTCGGTCAGAACATGAATACAGAGGTGACAGGCGGAAAAGAAAAAAAACACATCATCATCACTCGTGTGTCCGACAGAAGGGAGAGGATGGATATCGATTCGCATTACAAAATCCTACATACCGGTAGCTCTACCCCACCGGCACATCGGAAGGTTCATTTCACTCATTTATTCATTCATTCATTCATACTGTGCGAGTACCGACCGATACGGTACGGTACTATGCTGGGCTGGGCTGTACTTGTACCCAGCAAGCATTCGGTACTTGCCAAAACCCCTGACGTTCCCCGCCACCCAAGGCCAATCCCGGTCGTGCGCAAGTATCATATCGACAACACACACCCGGGATCAGCAGCAGCGCCCATCAGATCAGGCACATCCTTCCGTCGGGAACGCCTCGCAAGCGCGAATCCTCGGCTACCGTACCCCTACCTCCCCGATAATCACGGACATTCTTCTTCACAGTGCTAAACTTATATATTATACCCATGCTTGGATGGACCGGAGCGGGCTTGCTCGACAGAGTAATCACCAGAAAGCCCAGTTTTTGGATTTCTTGACGGCTCGGTTGTGGCGATTCGCCAGGGCAATGAGTCAAGGAATGTTGTTGTTTCAGTGAGATTGGGATGGCCATCTTTATTTATTCGGTGGGGTTATGCTTGTGTTGTCGGGAGGCGCTGCACTGCTATTTATCATATAGCGCGTTACTTTGAAAATTATAGACAGACAATGAATCGTGTCCCATGGACTGACTGGCTGTCTGTATACACGGAACGCGCAGGGCGTATACAAGCAAGCAAGCAAACAAACAAACAATCCCGCACCGGAAGGAAGGGAGAGAAAAAAAGGACAAACGGATTCGCACCCGCTCGGATAATTTATCACCGGGGGAGTGAAGGAAGGAAGGAAAAGTTAGTAGTGTACAATACTGGTACTGTACAGCGCGATGCGGGATACTGTACTCAGTATGCTGTACTGTACAAGAGTAAGGACATGCCACGACTTTTTATATACCAGTATGATAACATAAGAATTTCCCCAATAATAATAATAATAAAATACCAGTAGCAATTACGGTACTTGATTTTTTTCCCCTTCTTTCCTTTTTTACCATTCTTCCTCTCTATCGTGCCCGAAAACGGATATCCGGGAGAGGAAGAGAGAAAGATAAAAGGTAAAAATGAAAAAAAGAATGGGAAAGGGAAAGAACCAGAGCGTATAATGTCTCTGTGTGGGTTTGTAGAGCTGAAAGGAAAAATTGATGCATGTTGGAGGAGGAGGGAAAGGAGTTACGGGCATGCTAAATTACGCTACAGAGCCGGCTTAGTAATGAAGAAAGATATGGTATTCCCGACACCCCCTGATACCGTAGACATTCGCTATCTATCTACCTCGCAGCTCTGATGGAATGAGATATGATAGTTGAATCAAGGGTGAAGGGGATCAGGGAAGAAGAAGAAGAAAGGTGGTAAAAGATACAGGGGTGAAAACGAAAAGAAAAAAAAAAGTAAAAAAAAATACAGGCCTCCCAGCTAAATTGAACTTGAGGGTGAATAAAAAAAATAGTGGTAAAAAGTGAAAAGGCCAGAGCAGAATTAAGATGTCGTGATCCGAGGAAGAAATATGAAAGTGGGACGAATATCGCACCGCACCATTTAAAAGGGGTAAATAACGGATCGATCAGTATCCTCGAGGGAGAAATTGAAAATTGGAAATTGAAGCCTAAACCGAGTGAACAAGAAAGAAAAAGGTGAAGAAAGAAAAAGAGGAAAAAAAAGGTGGGGGAATCGAAAAAGAAAAACAAGAGAATTTTGTTCCCACGAAACCCAGGTTGAAATCAGATAACCTTAGCCCCCTTGCTGCTCCCGCAAAAATCAAAAATCAAAAGGTTTAAACGCCCATGTCCAGAGATTTCTTGCTTTCATTTTCCCACTGTGGTAGTAGTGCTGTTTTCCCTGTTTTCATGCCTCTCCCGATTAAATAAGAGAAGAAACGCTCCCCCAATGTACTTCCCCCTCTTACAGCAGCATTGATCCGAGGTACCCGTGCCGCTGGAGAGTTTCGGTATCGAGTTGCTTGTTCCTCACAAGGCCTGTGGTGTCCCTGGGGCTTCGCTCTCCGACGGCTAACTCAGCCAGATGTTGGAGACTGCCGTGGCCAGGTGGGATGTCAGGGGGTCCACCGCCGGGTCCACCGATTCTGTCCATCTTCCTCCGTGTAATCAGGTCTTTGACTGCCTTGTCCCACCCGAAACTATCTTCGGCAGTGGCAATGCCCCTTCGCTGCTCTAATGCGTCGGCCAGCTGCTGGATACCTTTGGAGGCTTCTTCTCTAGTCTCCTGGACCTCGGCAAGGTCCGCGAGAGTGACGAGTGCCAGTGCTGCAAAGTGGTGGTTGAGTGGTGTTATCGGTGTGTTTGGGCTCACGAGCATCGTGACGATCCTCGAGGCTGGCCCTAGAAGTTGGTGCGGTTCGGATGTGGGATTATGTCTCAGCACGAGTAACTTGACATGGTAATATGCCACGTGGAGGAGGTTCTGCGAACCCCATATCCCGTCAATGCTTTCACGGAACCGCTCGAGCTCGCCACGCAGCAGCTTGGAAATGAAGGGGTTATGCAAAGCCGCCGAAACAGCTTCATCCGAGGTGGTAAACGCCTCCGCCAGATGTCCCAAAATGCAAGATAGGCCTGTTGGGTTCAGTCAACCTTGTTGCCGCGGAATGTTGGTTCGGTGTTCAGACTTACGTGCAACATGAAATGGGACTGATCCAAGTAATAGATAGTCCTCCGGTACCAAGACAACACTGGAATCTGGGATAAATAATGGACTGGATGTGCTTATCGCATGCCAGCGATCCAAGATCACCAGGACCCACCATGCCCGTCGGCCCAACCTCTCGTCAGAATCTGAGTCTCCGTTGGCATACTCCCCCCGACACCGGTTCTGATGCAGCTTTAGATTGTAGGCCAGACCAACGGCCGCACCAAGCCAAATCGCTCTCGGCGGTCCGAGTCCACGCATTGTAGCCGGACCGCGATTATCAGATTCTAGGCCCAACAAAATCATGGTCTGAAGGTACAGGATATTCGTAGGCATCGATCGAACGACAGGGCTATCGAACTGAGAGGCCAACGTCAATTCGCATGCTCTCTTTGTATCCGCTGACGGTGAATCAGGTCGAAGATGTGATGATGGATTCGATCGAACGGCAGCATAAAGAGCCTCCAAGAAAGCCTCCCTCACTGTGGCAGGAGTGTTCGCTAACCGCTGGTGAAGACGGTCCTTTGAATGAGGAAGAAGGGGGAATGTCGGATGTATCAATTCATAGTATCTGTCATAAGGTTAAACGATCGTCAATTAAGTTTCACGAAATCTTTCAAAAATGTGTGAAACCGTATGAAGATGGATAAATAGACTGCTGGTATTATTGGGACCACTTACTGATCGATCGTTTCATCATCCCACTCAAATCCACTTATATCCGCGGGAGTCGAGCCAGCAGCGGAACGCCCGAGATCCGGCGATTCAAATGGAAAACTTACACTTGCACGCCGGCCGCCGACATCGGGGACCCCAGATTTCCAATACTGGCCCGTGCCATTTGGCGATAAAGCGGTCCTATAACCCGGTGCGGAAGGTTCAGCGGTTGAAGGCGGATGTTGGTGTGACACTTGATGAGGCGGAGGCGGGGGTGGTGGAGGTTGATGCGCATGGGTAGGTGGGGCTTGTTGAGGGTGTGGCAGCTGTCGCTGTGGTTGTGATTCATGCAGAAGCTGCGCTCTCTGTTGATGCTGATGTTGTGTCGTGGGATGGAATGAATCGATAGAGGGCAGCCGTTCATTCGACCTGGATGTCGGATTAGATTGGGATAGCGGCTGAAGATGTACCGACGATTGAAAATCGCTGGATGTCGATAAAGTTCTCTTCCTTGATTGCTTTTGCGAGCTGGATGGCCCAGCGGGTGGAGGCGACGTTGAATCCGAAGGGCCGGGCGATTGATCCCCTTCACCGGCCATACCCGAACCGTAAGATGAATGCATGTCACCCGTAGACATGGAATTTTCGAGAGTGTTTAATCTGTCGGCCAACTCTTTGATGTAGCTGGGACGTGGAAATTAGAGCGGAACTGGCAAGAGCTATGAAAATTATTTCCTCTTACCCTTTACTTGGCCCGCGCTTCATGGGAACCCTGCTGAAAGAACACTTGGAACCGACTCGCTTGCAACTCGAGCACTGCTCAACACCAGATTCCGAAGTCGCGTCACATCGTATCTATAGGGGAGAGGAAATTTTAGTAATGAACCGCGCACATGGAGGATAGAATCGCTACTTTTTTTCGCCGGCACTCGTCGCAGGCGCGCGAAACTTTGGACCGCTTCCGTGGCGCCGTATCGCCCGTAACTCCCTCGAGGCCCTGTGAAGAGTCGCTTAAACCCAGAGATACGGTCCTGGGCGATATTGGTTGTCGGGGGTCATTTTGCGAAGGCCCTGGGGGCGAGGCGCCCGGCATTGAAGAGGCTATTGGAGGTAAACCGCGCGGGATATTTCTCTCTGTGGAGGATAAGTGCATGGAGTCTTGTGGAGAGAGTCGCTGGTGGTGCGAGAAAAAATTAGTCGAACTACCATCTCCCGGGGAGTTCGTTGGATTGTATTGAGGCTGCACAGGTTGCGCCTGGTCAGTTCGGATTTGATGTTGAGCGTGCTGGTGATGCTGCGTGATTGCACGTGGGGTGGTAGAGGGCGGCGAAGAGGCGAACAAAAGCGGACTTTTTGGCCGAGAAGAGCTACCTGCAACTGCAGGAACAGCTGCCCCGGCAGCCGAGGTTTGCGATGGAGTGGCTGCAACTTCGGCCATTGCCATGGTAGAACGTTAAAGAAGGAGCGAGAAAAACCGCGATCAGAACGATAACATAATTCGTCCACTGGCTTTCTCCCTTTTTTAGGGGGGGGGGGGGGATCTCTGTTCTGCTGGGCAAAAAAAATATCCGTATTTGGGGAGCGTGATATGAGTGGTGGGTTGGTCTTCTCTTTGGGGGGGTGACTTGGTATGTACGAATGTGTATGTATGTACGATGAGCGGAGTACCTTATTTATCGAGTGTATACACGCTATTTGTGGAGGGCAGCAGGAAAATATAATGGTCGGGAAAGTAAGGATGGAAGTGTGGACGGATGAAGAGATGAAGATGGGGGGACGGGTTGGGTAGGATTGAGTGGCTGGGTGGGTGGGCGAGGGGGCGGATTGGGAAATGGGCAGCAGGAGAAGCAGGAGGAGCAGGAGCAACAGGAAAGTAGGTTCAGAGGACGACGAGAAATGTGCTGCTAGGGTGGTGTGTGGGGGGGGAGCGGGGAAGTGAGTAGGGTACTCGAGCAGTGGCAGTAGTACCGTAGTAGGAGTAGCAGTAGCAATACTGTAGTAGGGAAGGAAGGCTCAACCGGAGACGGAGGAGGGAGGGAGGTAGTATGAATGATTGGAGGGGGGGTTGAAGGAAGGGGTGTGTGGGGAGAGAATGAAAGGGGAAGAAGAGAAAGAAAGAGGGGGGGAAGGATAAGATGGATAGAGAAAAAATGACGGAAGGACAGATGAATATGAATAGTATGGGGTAGTAGTGGGTTTAAGTGAGTCTAAGTGGGTGCTGGTGATAGGAGTAGATATGGGGCAATGATGATGGTAGTGTTAATGTAATGAACGGTTAGACAAGCTAATGATGATGAGCGAGTGAGCAGGTGAATAAGGGAGACGTGACAGGCCACCGCCAGCACCAAGTAGGCAGGCAGTCGGGTTCCCCGAGGGTCTCAAGCAAAGGGCAACGAGGGAAGGGATGGAGGAGGAGGGAGTGAACGAACGACCTTGCAACCCAGAATGTAAGAAGGTGCGGGGGGGGGTTTTTGGGTTTCGGGAGAAGGAAAAACGTGGGAAAAAGTATGGGGAGACCGGAAGAGGGGAAAAACGTCGGGACGAGAGAGGAACCCCAGATATTGCCCTCTCAATAAATATGCTGGGTCCTTAACTGCACCCCGGACGCCGGTTGCGGGCTTGCGGTTTGCCAAAATGTAGATTTATATTCCACCGGGTGCTGGTGTCATTGATCCCTACTGTACGGTACTGTGGAATAACCCATATATTATTATTACCGGTATATATATATCAACCCCTAAGTGAGTACCGGCAAATTCGTCACTATTGCACTAATCGAGGACCGATGTTGATGCCCAGATGTGTTTGGCACGCAACATCTTTAATCCTGCTAGGGGTTACCGCTCGAGGGGGGGCCCTCCCTCGGGATGTTGAAAATCGAGGTATCGGCACTATTATCGTGCTTTGGAGAACGGGAGATTAGGAAGGGTGAGAGAAAATGAAAGGGGTGAGGAAAAGGGAAAAGAAAAACAAAAGAAACAAGACTTTCCACACGGGACCCAGTTCCTAGTCTCCAGTAACCCCCCCCCCCGGTCCCACTCCCACGGGCCGGAGGGGGCGTACTTGTACGAGTACCACCTGTGCTCATCATATCGGAGCTCTCACTCTTTTTGATCCAGTTTATAATGAATCGATATCATTTGGTACATTTTTACTATTTAAAACCTCCGCCCACGGGACTGTGTAGAAGGAATACCGGTACCGGGACCGGAGCGGGTCGAATCACTGGCACGGCACTGTAACATTTAGTTACGTGCCATCCGCTTGTCTCACTCGCAAACGGCTATCACCGTTCATACAAGTACAGCGCCGTAGTCGTACAAGTAGCCAGAAAAGCTGCCTCAGAGCACGACCCGGCGTCCTAAATTCCCCAGTCGTTTCAGAGTCAAGCACCGACTGAGCTCTCCATGCGCCGCAGAAGCGGGAATAGCAGGCTCCAGTTGGCCCCGTGAGCCGGGAAGACAGAGGGCCGTCTGTGCCAAATCGAATCGATGACCGAACTCTGGGAAGGGGGGGGGAAAAGGAAAAATAAAACGAGAGGGAATGGGGGAGAGAAGAGGGAAAAGGGAAAATGGAAGGGGGCTTGTCGTTGCCGCCGAAGTGAGCTTTGGTGTGGGGACCGAGGACGGCAAATTCTGGGACAGTGGGAGGAGACCGGGGGTATGGGCGCCACAAAGAGAACAGCATTGGTGGAACTCGTGATGATATACCGGTATATATTGCAAGTGCTCCTCATGTCGGTACGATACGATATATTACGGCTACGAAGATTACCGTGAATAGGTATGATAAACGCTCGCGAGGAAAGTGCAGCAAGCAAGCGAGCCGGCTGGAGAAGAGGCGGAATCAGATAAGCTACCGGTACGGTACTCTACTCGAGTACGGTATCATAGTCTATCCAAACGGTTGGCAACCATATCGGTACACACCACAGTGACCACACACACCTTGCTGCCAGCACTGGAGGGAAAAAAGGGTGTGTCGAGAGGGGCGCACAGACACTCCCAATTGACAGCGGAGAAAATAATCTCTTACCCCCGATGGATATGCACATTTTCGTCCAGCAAACGATAAACGAAGAAACCATCTTGATGAAGGGAACGTGAGAGGCTATCATCAACAGTTCTTACACTACGGTACCCTATCCCTTCAAGTTAACTTATCGTTGAGATAACCTGCCTTAAAATGATTACCCATTTTAGGTTTCGTGATTAATTGTTCCACCATCGCTCAAGTTAAGAGTGGTCTTGTCTCTCCTCACTCGTCCCAGGCCCGCCAATGGGTAAGAAATGTAGTGCCCCAATCCGCCCCACCCTCCCACACCCCGGGAATATTGTCTCAAACCAAGCAGGAGGAGTTTCTCCGGAAATCAGATGCGATGGGAGCATGAGTACGGTAGCCAGGGCCAGGGGGAGGGGGGCAGCCAGCTTGTTTCTGGCCAGGGAGGGAAAAAGCCGAGCGCCGGATCCAGCCTACCTCTTTCAACCGGGACTGCTCGCTGTTGGCGTCTGAGGAAAGGTGGGGTTAGAGTAGGATTGCCTCTCCCGCTGTGCTTTTCTCTTTGGAACCACGGATCGCGGCGGAAAAGGGCTGCTATCGTTGGAATTAACCTCGCGGAAACAAGCTTTAGCCCCGATGATAGCCCCCGGCTTCCGAAATTTTATCATACACTCGAGAATCGACTGCCGGTATGATAGTCTGCCCTGGATTGGCGTGGGTTGAAGGCTTACTGTACTGCACGCATGAAAAGTTACCGATATTCCGAAAGGACAAGAGTTCTTCCCGGATCCCAAAAGTTCTGTGCGCAACTCGTTAAATAAACATTGGTTTCACAAAGCACGAAAGACAGCCCGTGTGAGAATGGAATAAGCAAAAACAAAAAAAAAAAAAAAGTAAATTAAATCAAAACCCTAAATAACTGTGCTACCGATATCGGGAGCCCCGTCTTTCCCATCGCGAGTGAAGGAATGCAAGAAGACTGGTACAAGTACTGTACGAGTACGGTAGGGGGGAGGGAGGGAGAAAAAACATGCAACACTCGGTTACTGCCCATGAAGCAAGCCCGGGGTAACTCTCACGCATGGCTAGACTCCCGTCGTGAAGACCGCACGGGGGAAATGAAATGCGGTTTCCATATGCACCCCCTGTTATTTGGGTGGTACAAGTACAAAAAACCGAACGATGGTTCTTCAAAGGAAGCCGTAAAAAAGCCGAATGGGATCAGACACGGCTCCTCTTCGCCCCGGCCGACGATCTATCTCGCTGCTCCCCGCTTCCGGTCACCATAGTTACCGTAACCCTTTTTCGTGATCACTTCCGGTCGGGACACTGGGCAACAAACAATTGAGCGTTGCCGCTATTATGCAATCTGGCGCTCCCGTTGCAATTCCGGGACTCATCGAAGCGCATCCAACCGATACCGATACCACTCCAGTAAAATTCACGCCTTACCGGTATAAGTACGGGCCCGCGTTAGGCAAAAAACTTGGCCTCGATACCGATACTCAATTGCGCACAGGCAACCTGAGGAACAGACTTAAAAAATTCCCTTTCCCAGAACCCCTCCCTCACTTTCTCTCGGGCTCTACTGTACACTGTCCGGGGGAGTCTCTTGATCCAGAGGGCCCTCCTGTAGCTTTCCCCAAGTTCGGCAAGACTTCGAAGACTAAGAGAGATGGAGCCATGAGAGCGGGGGAAACAGAGAGGTTCAAGATCGCCTTGACCATCTAATTCTAGTACCTGTACTACTTGCCAATTTAGAAAGTGCGGGTTGTCCCCACCCAAAGCCAAACAACGTCAACTACGGGGAACATAACGACAATACCGGTAACCCCAAAGGAATCTCTCATAAGCATATTTTGCAGCGCCAGCGCCAGGCGTGAAAGAGAAAATAGCGAAGGGCAGGTTCTGGCCTTTGGTGGCACAGAAATTTGGGAGCTCGTCCGGGTTAAGGGATAAGGTGGTCCACAATGGTTGAATTGGCCAGGAGCAAGCACCTGATCTAAACTCCATGCGAGAAGACACTGGTTAAAGGCAATTTAGCAGTGTTTGGGATATTCCTGTCGGCTGGGACCGAATCGCCAAGACAGGGCGGATGTTGGAAATCATCAAAAGCGAGAGCGGTCGGTTGATTTCCCTGCCGATTTCCGGAGCCCTATGGAAATTCGGTTCAAATGCTCCTGTTCGCCGCACTTTTCCCAATCTCTCCGGTCGAATACGGTAGGAAGGAAAACCTAAAAGGCAAACAGATCGTTTCTGTCGTCCATGACGCCACAAATACCTACAAGTACTCGTACAAACTTCCTCCGGCGGAAGCGGTGATCAGTAGTGATTTTGTCCTGCTCTCTTTTATTTTTGTTTCGCCCTTCCGTTGCTTTTTCCTTTGTGCAAAAGGCGACAACAGGGGGGGTTTTCACACAGCAAACGCCATTATATAATCGTTACTCCGAAAGGGAATCCTTGGAGTTGTGGTCCCCCTCCGCCCCACAAGAAATCATACCCGGGCGGAGAAGGAGGGAGCATCTGACAGGTCAACTCGTGTTTCCCTCCACTGAGCCTCTCTCGCTTCGCTAACCCTATCTGCGCGCCCACGCAATGGGATTTCCATCCTCATGACCGCCCAGCAGAACAATTTTCCGCTCTATCCAGACCCTCATCAGGAAGGTGGGGTCCGGTTACAGTATGATGGCAAAAAAAAGAAAAAGAAAGAAAAAGAAAAAGGGCAGCCCGTTTCCCCGTCCGCGACCCAGCCCTGAAGACGATTGATGGAGGCAAGGTCAAGTTGACCCAATTTCCGAAAGGGCAATGGATCCTGTTGGAGACAGGTGCTAGGAAGGGACCACCGGGCACCAGCTCTATGGATTTTAGCCGGGACTAAAAGGGGGAGAAAAAGAAGGTTAAAGCGTATGCTTGGGGTGAGCCTCCTTTAGCTCTATCCGAGGACGCGGGGAGATACTCGTGTACAGTACAGGGGTGGAGGAGGGGAAAATTGGCCAGTCTAGCAAGGCTAGTACTAGTATGGGGGCTACCGGTACGAGTACTACGAGTACGGTGCAGGTATCAGTATCGGTATGATGGGTGGCAGAACCAAAGTTCGTCCGCAAAACCACTCTGTCGTAGCGGAGTTCTCATCATCATTAGATTGGATTCAAGCAGGGAACTAATGCTAAATCATCAACAAAAATAATAAGTAGACGGACTCGGAATAACAATCTCCGGCTGCTGAATTTGGGGAAAATCAAAGGGCACTAGGTGTTTTTTCACCCGATTAGATTACCGTTATGATAGGTGAGTCCGTGAACGCTGAGGGTAAGGATGAGGGTATGGTTGATTGATTGAGGAGCCAGGAGGGAAGGAAGGAAGAAAGGAAGGAGGGAGGGAGGGAGGGAGGGAGGGGAGGAGGAGGATCCGCGGGGTAAAATCTGGGATCCGTGAAAGGGTAAAATGGGGAAAATCAAGCGTCAGATTCGTTCCTCTCCCTCGGATTGATTTCGGTGAAAGGTTGTTGCATATGATCACCGTGAAGCTCTCATTGTTTTTTCTTGTCTCCTGGTTTGGAGTCCGAATGGGTTTCTCGGTACGGTACCGACTGCCACTCGCTCAATATCGAGAGTGCCGCATCTGCCCCTCGTGCCTCAACGTCTTCTTGTCGCTAGTTCACCTCCAATGCCTTCGACCCCACCGAATCGTATGCGTGACGAGCGGTGCTCGTCAATGGCCCGTATAAATAGAATAACCCGAGTGGTACATTACTGTGCGGCATCAATTGGAATGCTGGGGTGATGTCTATTCGGCGGTACGGGATTCCCTTGCCTTTTGGATTTGATCATGAGGAGAACCCCGCACACCCCTATCAGGGGTTCAACACCGATAACGGTACCTGTACTAACTAGTACGAGTACATTGGGTGCAGTTATTTTTCTTTATTTTTTCCCCTCTCATATTCTGGAGGCACAAGATAACCCCCAGGATACAGTATCATACTGTGCTTTTTCTTCTTGTGGTGGATAGGTACTTAAGGTCTATCACCTTTGTGGGCCTGGCAGTATGTCCAGTTGGTAAGTCATTTAAGCTCGCTTTCATCTGCAGGCGAGAAGATCATGATCAGAGGGCCAAGCGGCCGTTGGATCACGTCAATTGGGGTGCCACTTCCTGGTGCTTACGCAAGAACGACAGCCTCGCACTCGGATGCACAGAGTGCCAACGGCTCCTTCTCCTCCTCCTCCTCCTCCTCCTCCCCCTCCTCCCCCTTCCTACCCCACCCCACCCTTCCCTCTCTCTACCTGCGTACCCTACGAGTATGTGTGAACGAACTCCTTCCCAGGATGATATTAATTAGGTCCCATACGAGTACTGCACAGTTTACAGCATTCCACTCCGGGCACGCCGTATATTAGAGTAGGTAAGATAATTGTCAGGACGGGCCTATGGTGCTTCCACAACTTTGCATCCTATTCGCAGCTAGCGGGTCATGAGATCGGGCCCTCCGAGAAAAGTATGGTTTGGTTGAGGTGAGGCCAGTATCTGAGGGGGGGGGGCAAGCTATTTTATTTTATTTTTTGAAGTTTGATGGGGTTGATTGATTTGATGACGCTCTGGGACTTTGACGAATTTTTATTATTGTTAACCTACTGATATACACATACCCGGTAATCCATCCATAGCAGGCCGACCGGGTGGGGAGCTCCCACTCCAACTGTTACCGGTACCAGGGCAACTGCGGATATCTTGCGGCGGGCGTGGGAGAGATTTCATAATGTGAGAAAAGAAAAGAAAAGAAAAGAGGTTCAGGAAGACGACAGGCTGCCCCTCCAAAAGATTGGCGTGCGTGAGGTCGCTTCACTGAGCCACAGAACAGGGAGCGGTTGCCCTGCTATGATTGGCCGGAGCGGAGCGAAAAGTGGGAGTGGGAGGGAGGGAGGAAAGGAGCAAGGGAATGGTGATGGAGTGAAGGGAAAACTGAGTCGTCCTCTAATAGCCCGTTCTCTTGTCTCTTCGCCTGTTTTCCCTTAGAAAGGGAGAGAGAGAGGGTTCTGGTGAAGAGCTTTTTCTCCTCTTTTCTTTTGCGGTGGTGATTTTATCCTCCTCCGTTCCCCCACGCCGCAGTGTTGGCTCAGTTATGTAGTGGACAGACAGGAAGGAGAGCACCCCATCCCACGCATGTCTTCCATTCTTGCCTGTCTCTCAGAGTGTGTGCTGTTTGGGCGTCAAGACGCAGCTGGTATTACCGTTTCTATTGCACCCTTTTCCTCTCTCTCTCTATTGTTTTTTTTTCTTTCACTCCGTCTCCTTCTTGCACTGTACGTTTTGGTTGAGCCCGACCAGCCAGCCAGCCAGCCTTGCTCTGCTTGCTTGCCTCACTCTGAGAAAGAGCTGCCTGCTCTCTTGGGGCGCTCCTGCTTTCCTGTTGCTTTGCTCTGCTTCCTCGCTGCTCCTGTTAGAGTTGCAGGTTTTCTGGAGCCGTGCCGCTGCTTGCCTGCTCGTTCGCTTTGCTTTACGTTGTTGTTGCTCTCCTTGCCCTTCACTCTCACTACCGCACATCACCCAAACCGTCCATCCACCTTTCAAACCTCCATGTCTGCCTTTTCTGTGGCTGCTTCTCCATCCATTCGCCAATCTTGGGGGGGGGGCTTCCCTTTTTTTTTTTTTCTTTCCTCGCGTGGAGTGTGTGCAAATAATTAGTACGGGTACAATGGTACTAGTCAGACAGCGAAGAGGGAACACCCATTACCATACTACCATCATCATACACACCCACACCCACACCCACTTCTTCGCTTTGGCTTTCTACACCTTGAACTTGCACATACGCGCCCTACATGCCCTACCTTGCTACGCACTGGAGAGAATAGCGAACGGTAGAAATTCAGTCGTCTACAGCGGCGATACATGTATGGGATTTGCATTGCCCCCCCCCCCCCTCCTTCCTCCCTCTCTCTTGTGCCATCCAGCTTTATCTAACATCTTCATCCATCAACCTGTGTCTTCTACCTGTCTCCATTTCCCCAACCAGATTCGCTATCCTTACTATCACACTCCTCCCCTCTCACCCTCTCGCCTCCACCCTTTCCACATCTGTCACCAAGGCCATCTCTTGCTCTCACTCGCAGGTTTTGCATGCTACATAAGTACAATACATGAATTCAATACGTACATAAATACCAATACATATCCATACATATTTCCCACTTCATCTGCTCATTCCTGTCCGCCTTAAATGTGCAGAGAGAGGGAGAGACAAGAGAATCGAAGAACACTCTGTGTTGGATCTTGAATCCTTGAGGAACTGATTGCTCCTTCCATTTCTCTCGATCAGTTATTCTTTCTTGCTCTTTTCCACAGGTCCCAACAAGAGGGAAAACAGTTATTTTACTGCTACTTTTTCCATCTTTTGCTTGCTTAGATCTACCCTACAGTACCGCTACCGCACTTCCCTTTCTCACCTCACCTCACCGCCGGATTAACCACCAGTCAGCAACGCCTGGCAGGGGTGGAAAGACAGCCGCTCCGCCAATCCGCGGCCACGCCAGGGCTATCCAATCCTCCACAGACTCTCACCGATCCTTGCTGGTTCCCTTCTTCTTTCTCTCTTTGTGATTCCCCATTAAAGCTTCCGTTTCTCGCCTCCTCCCACCAGCCCCCCCCTCCCTCCTCCCACACACATCCCGGCCTTTTCTTCTACTTCCTCCTCCTCTCTCTTCTTCTCTCTTTTCTTTCCTCTTCCTTTTCCTCTCTTTTCCCTTCTCTCATCCCTTCACCACCTCCGCACCTTGGAACGGTCAGGAAAGAGTTCAGCTGATTTTGGTGTCCCACTCGGTCTTCCGCGTGAACGCTTTCGAAGCCGGCGCCAACACGGCCCGTGCAAGGCGAGGGGCCTCCGTTTCCCGAACTGAAAGTGTTTCTTTTGCGTGGCGGCGTTTTGGGTGTGTTTTGCTTTACTATACTTCGGCGAAGCATCGAAAGTCAGCCAGTCAGTCAGTCGCTTTTCTTTTCCGCAGAAAAATACTGCTCAGGCGACGGCGGAAGATACCCTTGAAAGCAATTTTTCATTTTGATAACTTTTCTTTCTTTTCTATTCTCCTAAAAGAAAAAACAAAAAAAACCCTATCAGAGTTTTTTCCTGTTCTCTAAATCTACATATTTCCTTTGATCTTGTTCCATATCTGTTCGGCCTGAACTGGACTTGACGAGCTCGAATCCTTTTCTCCTCTGCCTTACACTTCAACCTTCATAGAGGAGGTCTGGTCCTACTGAGTCTGTTTTCCTTAGCGGGGAGGAAGGAAAAGGGAAAGGGAGAGAGCAAGAGGAAAAGAAAGAAAGAAAGAAGTCACCACCACAATAATTTTTCTCTTCTCTTCGCCACATACTAGCAATTAACTCGTTCACCGTTCGACTTGCATCGAACGGCCTTTCATTTGCTTCTCACCATGATGATAGATGGTGTTAAAATGGCTTGCGAGGCCTGCATTCGCGGCCACAGGGTGAGCGGGTGCAATCATTCGGGTCAGTTATATTATCATCTCAATCGAAATCTTTTCCTCCGTGCCCTTTAAAACGCTCTCCATCCTTGAATACTTGGAGCTTAATACCTTTTGTCATCTCTCCTCCTTGCTTCAGAGGCACTAACGGGGAGATACAGATCGTAAGCTCTTACCGATCGCGAAAAAGGGCCGTCCAGTGTCCCAATGTAATCACTGCCGTCAGATGCGGAAGGCTCGTTCTGCTCATGTTAAATGTGATTGCGGCGAGAGACTTGCTTTGTTGAAGGAGTCAAAGGCAGCTGGAAAGCCCGTCCCGGCTACTGCCTCTGCATGCCACACTTCGACCGCCACTGCTACGGCTGCACCACCAGAAGAGGGCGATCATAAAGGTAAAGGACGATTTTCTCGATCATAGGCACTGGCATCAGGGCTAATAGTTACCGGAAAACAAAAAACAGATGCTTCACTTGCTTGCCTATGTTGTCACGGAGGCCGTTGCACATGTGCGCTGAAGAAAGAGCCTTTGGATTCTGTTCCTGAGTTAGCTACACCCGCCACCAGTGCATCAATAGCCCCTACAGCAACTGCTACACCCGCGGTGGAAACCCGAAAACCTCGTCTCCAAGCGACGCTCTCCGAGAGCTCCCTTCCCAATTTTCAGATTTTCTCCAACGGGCACCACCGACCGACCCACAAGCAGCACGGAAGTATCCATGGATCATCTCCTTACACAATCCCACATATCGGTCACACGGGCCATACGTTTGGCGAGCACATCGGCGGCTACACGAAAGCGCCTGCTGCTACTGCGTCTGCACCTCCAAGCACTTCGTCCCAGAAGCCTCGCCGTATCAAGTCCGAGCACTCTTCTCCAGACCTGAGGAGTTATCCTGCCCTGAAGATGGCCAACACGGGCATCACCCCTCTGGAGTTGACCCCCCAGCTTCCTCCACAGCCCATCAAGCCGATATCGAGCCGTGTCGCGCCCGGACTCAGTGTCAACACCAATGCTCCCTACACCGTTCATGAATTCCGCAGCCAGGAGTTGTTGCCATCAGCAGATTCGGAATGCAGTTTCCAATTCTCAGCCGGGCTGTATCCGCCCCAATCCGCCGGATGGCCTCCCTCCTACGGTGTGTATGATGGCGCCCCATTTGACGAACAGCCCTTGGATACGGGGGTTGATTACTCGGTATCTCAGCTGGACCTTGGGGACTACCTTCGCTACCAGCCATCTGCCGGACTGAACGGATCTGTGTCTGGGGACGAGATTGATGAGTTTATTGGCCCAGTGAATGGGCCTGGCGGTCTCGGCGGGGCCAGGACGGTTACAAGGTCTTCCTCGTCGGACACTTCGGACCAAGCCGAATCGGACTTCCGTGTTAGTGCCGCGTCATCGTTTGTGGGTCTGCAGCAGGCTTCATCCGCACTGCTTCCAGGAAACAGCTATGAGGATTTAGAAAATCTGAATACAGCTGTTGCGCCTATGCAGCCTCCGGATCCCACGTATGGGTTGATCATTGGCACTGTCGACGGGGCTCTTGATAGTGAGACTAGGAGTTTGAGTTTGTACGAGGGCTATTCAGATGGGTTTTTGAGTTTGAAGGATATGGCTACTACAAAGGCGGCCGAACTCGGTGGAGTGCCCTCTTCGCTCCCACCGGCCGATGACGGAGACTTCCTGTGGATGGCATCGCCGATGAGTGCAAATTCTGTTCAGGATGGAGCTCCCCCACCTGACCGCTGGGTCAGCTGACAACTAGAGGGCGGGGAGGGCTTCGTGAGGTGTTAGAAGAGAAGGAATACAGAGAGAGCTGAAGGGAGGGGGGATCTAAGGGAAATGAAGGGTGAAATGGAAGCGGAAGTGGGGGAGAGGAGAGAAAAAGGTCTAAGAGCTTGATGATGAAGGTGAAACATCTGTTTTCTTCTGGTATCAAGGGTTGTAAAAGGAAATTCGCCTTTTTTCTTTTCAACTTTTTTCATTCTCTTCTCTCTCTCTCACGCAAGCAGATACAGTACAATGGGATGGGGCGTGTTCTCTCTCTTTTTTTTTCTTTTTTTTGTTCAAATTTGCTCCAGTTCTTCGCCCTTCCCGACGGACAAGCCTTCGAGTGCCCAAGGGGAGCGGGAGAAAAATCAACGAAAAAAAAGGAGAAAAGTCTAGGAGAGAAAAACAATGTTCAAGCCTATCGGTTGATTGATTGACTGAATAATGCGCGGTACAGTACGAAGGTCATCATCATCACCATCATCACCATCATCACCCGTCCTTACTTCCCACAATCCGTTCATGCGTTTATCCTGTTTTTTTGTCTCCTCCACTTCGTTTCCCATTTCCGTTCGCCAGATTAGCTCTATGGTTTGGTCCCTTATTCTCTTCTTTCCTGTTTTCCTCCATTTATGCAAGACTATATATAGAGGGTGTACTTATTTATTTTTCCTTTCTTTCAGCGTTTATGTTTGTTTCATTGAAATTTTTACTGGGTTTCTTTTTCTTTTTTTTTCTTTTTTTTTTCCTTTTGTAAGGGGGGGGTGATTGAATTTGGCTGGTTGGCTGCTATCTACCTAGGGTATCTGTTGCACGTGGGATTGTGTGGTATGGGCTCGTTCGCTCGTTCGCCTGCATTCATGCCATGTTATGCCATGCAACGGCGGTAGTTAGTTTTAGCTAAGTTAGATTGTTGGTTTGGTTCGGCGGGTTGCGCGTTGTTGGTGGATGATGGATGATGGTTACGATGTCATGCTGTTGATGTTATATTTCTTTTTCACTTTTTACCATTATATCTCTTTCGGCTCTTTGCTTCTTTCTTTCTTTCTTTCCTTCCTTCCTTCCTTCCTTCCTTCCTTCCTCCCCTTACCCGCGGAGGCAGAGGGGGGGTGGGGGAGGAGGAGGAGGAAAGAGAGTGTACTGTACGCAGCAGGAAGAGGAAATTACATGTAGAATAAGTCAATTTGAGTTGGGTCAAGTCAAGTCAGTTCAAGCCCGGTACTATACCGCACAACGCACAATCCCCGAACGGTATTATTATATGGTGGAGTATCTGGCAATATCAGTAGCAGTATATAGCAGATTCTATCCAGTTTAGCCCCTTTCACCATACCACCCGCCGCCATCAGAACTCCCCCCCTCTTCTCTTCCTCCTCCCCTTCCTCCTCCCCGGTGTTCACCGCGAGCCAGCCAAACAAACAAACAAACAATCGGACGGAGAGCATCGGCCGCGCCGTGCAGGGCCACGATAGATAGATTGATGCACAATAGCCATCCATCCGCAGAGCGCACAGATAAACAATTCCCAGACCACAGCGCCGCACCGCACCGCAACACAGCGGGTCGGACGAAATGGGGACAGGACCCCACATTTATCGCTATACCATACACTCCCTCTCTCCCTCTGCCCCGCACGGCAATTACACCGGTCGGTCGGCAGGTAGGAAACCATACCGATCCATTTCTCTCTTCCACTTCCACTTCCACTTTCTATCCTCACTTATTATTATTATTATTATTTATTTATTTATCGTGCCGGTATGATACCGTACATCCGTTGTTCCGCTCTTTCTTTCCTTCCCTCTTTTCCCTGTTCTCCTCCATCCATCCATCCATCCATCCATCAATCTATCTATCTATCTAACAACTTGAGATGGGGTGGGTATGGTATATACTATATAGTATTATAAATTTTTGTCTTTTTTTTTTTTGTTCTTTTTTTGCTTTTTTGCTTTTTTGCTTTTCTCCCATCGGTTTTAAACTTATCGATTGCTGCCCTTTTTTTATAATTTTTAATTTTTATAATTTTTATTTATTTGTGGATGGGGTGGAGTGAAGGGGGGGGGGGTTTCTCCTCCACTGCACGAATACGGTAGGGCAGGGCAGGGTACTGTACTAGTACCGTAGTCTATGTCATGTCAAAAAGTGTGATGGGTGGAGAGGGGGGAAGAGGGGGGGAGGGGTAGGGTTACGGACGGGCCGGGGCCGAGACCGTGCTTGTGGTGTGTGTGGTGCGGTCTTGCGCCTAGACTGGGACCGGAACTAGACTATGGGTTTTATGTGTCGCTGTATCATACAAAGTACCGTATATTTGTGTACAGTATATACGGTTTCCCACCCCCTCCCACTCCCCCCCCTCGATTTACGAGTGCCGTACTGGGTGTGTTATAATATGGTGCGGTATTGTAATAGTAAGTTAGTATGATATTGGTAAGGCTTTGATTGGGGTTGGTGGTGGTGGTGGTGGTGGTGGTGGTGGTGTTGGAGGTGTACCGTACCGGTATTGTTTATTTGATTAAGAAGGGTGGATGGAAGGATGGAAAGAAGGGGAATGGCTCGGCGGTAAGATTGGGGGGGTTACGTTCGTATCTTTCTTTTTTCTGGATTATTGCTGTGCTTTTTGCCATACTGTACTGGCACTGGTACTGGTACTGTACTAGGTTTGTGATAAATACCGTAGCGATGCAGTCGTTACGGTTGTGGCACACACATTTTCACTGTGCCCTGGATATAATAGTACCGTACTGTACTAGTACTAGTACTAATACAGTCCCTATACCGTTACTAGCACCAGAGCGCAGTGAGTGAGTGACCACAGCACAGAACAGCACAGTACTTTGGCGCTTCTCAGGTATCATGGTTACGATACAGACACACCGCTATAGGTGGGATTGGGGAAAAATGCATTGTGTAAATTTTTTTCTTCTTCTTTTCTTTCCACCTTTAGTTTTTTCCTCCCTTCCTTCCCTTACTTACTCACTTCCTTTCCTTCCTTCCTTCCTCTCCCGATCTCAAGACCGTCCATTCAGTACAATTAGCGGATTGATCCGGACGTTCAGAATACCCCGACGAGTCTAACGGGGTAGAGCTATCGTACCGCGCTGTGCAGTACAGTACAGTACAGCACTAGCACAGATTTCTGTATTCAGTTTCGTAGCCTTACCGCCAATACTGTGCAGTGCAGTGCAGTGCAGTGCCGTACACTTATCATACCAACCACGCAATAAGTCGCAAAACACCCCCGTATGATACGAACATCTCCCACGTACACGACAACATCCCCCATCCGTCTTTTCCTTTCCTTCCTTCCCTTTCCACCTTGGAAAAGGGGTGTGTGAGTGTGAATGGGAGTGGGTAGTGGGAGTGGGTGGGTGGTGGGGTGGGTGGTGGGGTGACCGGAGGTGGGGTACCGTATTCAAAATGTTCAGGGGGAAATCTGTGATAACCAATTCGTGTCTGAGAGGGTATTAACTTATAGTTACGAGTACAGTACAGTGCTAAGAAAGGAAAGGAAAGGAAAGGAAAGGAAAGGAAAAAAAAAAAATACCTTCACGGTCGCGGAATTTCCCGTTACTGGATTGATTGATTTGATTAATTTGAAAGAAAAAAAAAAGGGAGTATAGGAAGAGAGAGAGGAGGGGGGGGGAGGTGGGAGGTGGGGAGGGGTGGGTTCGTCTCAATTCTTTGCTTATGCCCATTTATCTATCTATCTCTGATGATATTTACTGGTTTTTGTGGTGTTCGGGGGTGTGCTGTACTGTGCTGTACGAGTACAGTACCTGACGTTCTTGCTAGGCTATATATATATATAAATAATATATATATACCGGTATGAGAAATATGCTTTATTGGATGGTGGTGGTGGTATATACTGTATTGTATTGTATCATACGTGAATGTTATTATTGCAAAGATCGAGATGGAGATTGAGGAAGGAGGAGGAGGAGGCGAGTACTCTATACTCTACTCTACTCCATAATGATATGTATGATACTCGTACCGTACACAAACTACAGTGGGTGTGTAACCTGTTGAACCGTGAATCTGGGATTGAGATGCCGAGTTTTGTGGTTGCGGTTGTGGATTTTTTTATTATTTGCAATGTGATGTGATGTGTGATATGACACGCTACCGTATTGTACGATATGATCGCCACGCTACCGTACGAGAATTTTCCATAGTGCAGCTATCTGGGATTCCTTCTTTCTCGAGTACTCGTACCCTATCTATGTACCGTATCTATCCATCATTCATACCTTTGAAAATTTGTTTCCTGCAGAAGAAGAAAAACTCTTCCCTACTACATACATACAAATCCTAGGATTGGCAAATTGTGGACTACAAAACCCTTCCTCGGTTCACCCCCATCCTCACCTTACCTTACCTACCTATGATATAATATTATGATACCTACCTACCTTACCCCCAAACCACGGAATGGCTGCTTACGTTGATGATGCAAAGGGGGTGGAGGAAAAGAGAAAAAAAAGAAAGAAAAAAGGAAGAAAAAAAAACTTTTCAAACCAACACGACCAAGCCTATGATACGGTATCCATTCCACTCCCCCCCCTCTCTCACTCCCTCTCTTGCCACCAATAACCACACGGCCCCGTACCGTAGCACACTCCCAATCAAGAAAGATTCCGGCTCTGCCCGTACCTACTGTAACATGTCCGGTCACCCACAACCTCCGCCTCAACGACCGTCGTGAGTACCGTACGAGGTAAAGTTGGTTGCAATCATACTACTACTTGAATGGAATGGACTAGACCGGATTAGGCCATGATGAAAATCTTTTCAATCATAGAAAAGCAACGAAAACGCATCTTAGTACGAGTATCATAAACGAATGGGTAAACTGGATAAGTTGTCTCCTCCTCCTCCTTTTCTTCGGCGTAGGGTGCCGTGAGTGACTGTATCATAGCCGTGGTAGTACGAGAGTCCCCTATTGTTTTGTTTTTTTACTCAGTAGGATAGGGAAGGGAAAGGGTAAAGAAAAGCATTATACTGAAGTGGGGGGGGGGGGGGGGGTGGAAATGTGTGGTGGAAGCACTTTTTTCCTTTCCTCCTTCCCCCACCTCTCGCCCCCTACGCGCCCGCAAAACCGAATACCGGTACCGTAGCTCTAGCGAGGATGTTTTATTCGTTCCTTCCTTCTTGATAGCTTTCTCGGCTTTCCCACCACCGCTCCTCCTCCCATGTTCCGAATCCGTATGGCAATCAAAGTGAGGAAGGGGTTTTTTTTCCAGGCCGATATGATATCTCCACCTTTGCGTACCGTGTGCCGGTATCCTTTTTCTTTTTCTTTTTCGCAATCGGAGAATTAGTTGCGGGTGGTCCGTTGGATGATCATATCGAGTAGAGTTGACCCTTACCGCACGTTTTGGGAAGTGATCGACCATTCAGTGATGAGACTTCTGCCCCCGAAAGTTTCTCCTTTGTACTGCTATTCCTGGAACTTCCTACATTGTTTTGTGCCCAATTTTGACGGGTTTGGATGGATGCATAGGTAATGTGTTCGAGCACGATAGCTATCCCAAGACGGGAATCCGAGTCCTTTTGGGGTACCGGTATATGTGTGTATGAATAAATAAGTATAAATTATCATGTCGGGGAGCGGCCGTGTGGGACGGAGTCCGGGTTGGCAAGGGGCATTGCTTTCATCCCGCCCGCTCCCCGATATGCAATGGAGGTTGCATAATGTAGCAAAAAATTTGATGGAAAGAGGAGATGCTCTGGACTTCCTGCGGTGGTCAGAAGAAAAAAAAAAGCAGGCCGATGGAAGGGAAAGTGAGGAAAAGAAAAGAAAAAGAAAAAAAAAAGGGATTTATGCATGAAACTCGATTTCAGCCACCACATTTCCGATCTCCGGCCTTAATAGACCATGGTATTTTTTATTTTTATTTTTTTTCGTTTATTCTCATTTTTCCAATCGCAGGGCTCTCAATGATAAGGAGCGTGTGTGGCCAAGTCAATCTTCGATGGTGCAATTGACTATTTTATGCCGGGACGATTCTTATGTTCCGCTAGGATGGGCTGTTGTGTGCTATAGTGTCGATATATAGCCCAATGAGCTAGAGGCAGCGGTGATGGTGGTAGCGGACGTCCGGGTATGTATTCAAACAGTTTTGAAGAAGAAAAAAGTGTTTCCAACAGGCCCAAGGGATATCGCTGTAGGCCGTAGATGCCGGGAAGGCGCAGAGTGCTGACACCTCGAATCGGATCCCTAACTCTACCTCCCCTCTTGGCGGTACCTACAATATTAGCATGTTGGGAATGCCATGTCTCGGACGGCCTATGCCCAGCGAGGGTTTGGGAAGTGAAGTTGCCAGCTGATATGAATTCTGCATTTCCTCCGCCCGCGAGCTGTGAATGCATGATTCACGGTAGGTTACGGGACCAGAGCTCGCGGCATTCACAGCATCTTCATCGATCGCCCCTTCCCCATCACTCGCTGGACAGCACACTATCTGTGCTATCCCTTAATCTGTGTGTTGGTTTCCCAATTTTCTGCACAGTTGGTGACCTTGGATTAGCTCAAGATCTTTACCGAAGATAGTATATATGGGGGGCTCTTTGCTGTGACCTGATCCCTTCGTCTGTATTTAACGCCTTTTAGTTCCCTAGGATATTCCGAGATTAGGGATAGTTCAAGTGTAGCAGTCGTGCAGAGGTCTTCTACGGTAGTATACTAGCCGCCTCACGACAATATCTCTCCGCCATGTCAACTTACCTCTGGTGAAGATCTTGGGTTAACCTAAGCTCATTAACCGCGCTAGGAAACCGCGAAATCTGCACACAGGTTAAGGGATAGAAAACATCTGCACGGTTGCCACACTTGAACTATTCCTAATCCCGGAATACTCTAGGGAACTAAAAGGCGGCAAATACGGACGAAAGGGTAGGTTCGGTCCATGGATCCGTAGTATCATGTATCATACTCGAGTACCGTATGTAGCCTATGCGGAGCCGCCAAAGAGTTTCCCCCCCGTCTCCCCGTCGTCCTCGAGTGTTCAGTTCAATGGCTTCCCGATTTTTTGTCTTGAACGGTACCTGACTGCCACGTTCGACCTTCCGTTACGACATTACCCTTCGATCTTTAGTTGGAAGATTCCAATAGTCTCTGGACTAAACATGACAAACATCCGGCCCAACATCCGGTCCCCCATCGATCGCTAGGGAAACTGGAACCCCCAACCCGTTCTAATTAGCCAGTGCAGATAGGGGCGGAACAGAGGCCACCGGTGCGACCCTGAGGTTGACTCTACTGACCTCTCTCCCGCTCCCACATACCCAATCTCCCCTCCCCTTTGCGGAGGCCATGTCGGACGTGTAAGGCTGCCGATATTTTGGGGGCCTACCAGGATATGTGGCATGTACGAGTAGGATGGAGCACATGTTGATCGAATGCCGCGGTACTGAGTTATTGTTGCCGGATTTTTTCGCCGTCGTGCATGGCTGCAGAAGATTAGGGGTCTGCCAATCAATCGTGTACCCTATTGCGAGCCTTTTCCCCCTCCGATAGCTGTTTCCTAGGTGTTTCCGCTCGCGCGGGCTACCCCCGCTTGTGGCCTCAGGATTTTTCCGCATGCACGAATTTTCAATTGGTCCTCTTCGGCTTGGGTCTGTGTGCTTAGTGAAGCGAGAGCCGTATTTGTTTGGTGATGGTTGGAACATCTGTATCGAAGTTGCATCATCCTCGATTTTTGTATGAGTAGCCGTGCGTGTGTGTGTGCACTCGTCTGCAAATGGCGGCACTCGCGCCCCTCTGATCTGTCGATCGGGGAAATTGTAAACCCACCCACCATAAGAGTCTCCCTAATACGTAAAGCTTATGTCAATAAACCAATTGTTCAGAATGAGGGTCATGGAATGGTTTTCTCACATATTGTGTTTGGGGGGGGGTAAGAATGGCCTCCGGGGCAACTTCCAGTCAAGGTTTCCGTGTGGCCTTGGTTGGATTACCGCACTGGTACAAGTAGGAATCTCCACCGACGGTCTCGAGGAAGCGGCTGTTACAATGTTGGATAAATTTCGGGGGACTTGCATGGTATGGCCCATGGTAACGATATATTATGAAACGGTGTGTAATCGGCCCGCTGCGAGCTATCTCGGTGGGTCCTCCTCCAGGGGACGAGTACGGGTATCGCTGGGGCAACAAGCTGGGATAACACGCCGCAGATCCATTTCGGGTATCGGGAATTACTACAGGTGGATGCGGGCTTGATAGCAACGAGTCCGTCCAATTCGTGGCCGCCTGGCTCCACGGTGGTCATCATGGGCGAAACACCCTCTCCCATGGAGATCTGAATCACTACCTATCTTTTCCATGTGCGTCCCCTCCGGCTCCGCCGAAGCGTCGTCGTAACATGCCATCGACGCCTCAGATAGTGGGATTTCTATGCGACTAATCAAACCTCGAACCAATTTGGGGGAATGGTATAAGGCGGCATTGCACTGTATCAGTGGTGTCGTTGGCTAAATGACCGACTTCATTATGATGGCTGATCCGGGGGAGGGGGGGGGGAACGCAAGCCATAACCATTACCGGCATTCCCTACAGACGCATCATGCAAGGCGCGATACCAATCGTGACGATGTGGAGATGTGTCGCATACCGGCATTATCTTCTGTCCTTGTTTGGTAGCCTGGTGTTGGCTTGGTTGTTTTGTCTTGGTTACTGGGTAGGCTGTGCTTCGGGCCTCAGAAACACCAGCCCAATTGAAATTACTGCTGATCAGTAGTCTACCGTAGTGCTCTAACTTGTGAATTCATTCATGGCAGGCGTAGTGGCTTAAGTGATCTGCTACGGGGTAGTGTGTTAGCGAAGGCTACATTGCCCATGATTGACCACTTACCATTGACATGCACCGATTTAATATCAGATGACCACCTTCGAACTGGGTTGGAGCCCGGACATTAACAATTCGATTCTTCAAAGCCCACACTAGCATCTCGATGTGTCCGGGACTGTTATATTTAAAACCAACCTGACCATGACTAATACACTATCATTTCGAAATCAGCAGTCACGAGCATGTCGAGTGATCATTAGAATTGTTAGCGGCAAACCGGGCATTGATATCTTTCGTCAGAGTCCACACGAGCACATGAAAGGGGTCTGCAAGTAACCCTCGAGGTTTGGTCTCGAGACCTGAAATCTCTTCCGCACCGTCCTAATACGGGGGAAAGCCCCGGTGGTCGAGAGGAGCTGGAGGGTGAGGGGGAGGGGAAGAAGGAGAAGGAAGAAGGGGGAAGGAGGCGAACGTGGATCTTTATGCAGGAGAATGTAGAATAGAACTGGAGCTCCTTTCGCCTCGAGGTTTATGCAGCCCGTTTGCTGCCCCTCTCCCCATGCCATGGGACTGCTAGGTGAGCGAACTCGTAACTGTGCACCCCTTCTCACGTTTCCCTCCTCCTCCACGTTTGCTTTTCGTTGGTATCTTTGTTGGCGCAATTCGAAATTCAACACCAAGTACCGGGAGCACAGGCCGTAGTGGTGTCAACATTTTCGGGATCCATCATTGTGGGGTGTGTGTCAAAATCGAGCCTGATTGTGGGGGTTTTGGGGGTTTTGGGGGCAATGGGTTCGGGGAGTTATTGATATAATAATAATAATAAGAGCAGAGGCATTTATGGAGTAATGTGGAGTTTGGTAAAGTCTTGTATGTGTTTTCAGATGTGGGGTACTGCATATCATGGCTACTATCATACCATGTGGTGAGCTACGGTATTTCAATGTAGCTGCTCAAAGTGCCGCGGGGAAATCTCTGCCTAATCCTCAACATTGGCATGGGGCAGTTTACACTTCATGTGATGTATTGGAAGGTAAACTGGGAGCTTGAAGTTATCATGGATGATAGTCTTAGAAAGCCAACTACATATTGAAAGTACTGTGGAAGGGAATTCCTATATGGGTTGCTGCAGAGGATGGTACTTAGCTAACCACGTATCACGTTACCTGTTCTCTCTTGTCATATGGACTGTAATTGGGAACACCTAGCAACATATATATATATATATATATATATGCCGTCTTTGGCGCGAAAAAAATGGTCCTTTCACGCCCGCAAAACCCTCAAAAGTCCTCCATAAATGCGGATATCACAAGCTTGTCGCGAGCTCGTGCATCTAGCCTAACCCTTAAGCTGAAATCGATCTGCTCATAGGCATTGGAGATCACTGGGGTGCAGTATTACACAGCATTACAAAAAAAAAAACTGAGACTGATACAGGTGATATAGTTTTTCCGATGCACGCAGTCACCCTGGGGTATGGGAAAGGGTCCGGGAGCGATGCTTTCCCTCTGTTCCGTATTGGGAATTCTCTTCTCCCTCAGGCAGGCTCATGCCTTTTTTTTCTCCTAGCAGATTTTGATTTCTGATATATGATATATCAGGAGTTTTCTGACTATCACATAAAAGCCGGAGCTGTTTTGACTGTCCAGCGGTCCAGTTGCCTTAACAACAGCCCTATCTATCCACCAATAGGTCCCCATAATACACCCCCCAGATAGATATTTCGCAGCAGTATAGCTATCTACCCGAATGGGCAAAAATCCTCCTGTACCTGGAGCGTCGCTGCATCGGGTACGGTACGGGGTGGGGGACGAGCTTTCTACACGTCCCGACACCACGTTGAGTCCCACTATAACTGCCATAGGTGGAGCTCTTCTTTGCGGTATCCGAGGAGAGAATCTTACACTTCATGAGTACATATGTCCCCGGAAGCCGCGGCGTCCCTTCAAGTCGTCCGGAAAAAGCATGGGCCTAAAGATGCGGTTTTAGCGGTGAGCCATTGAAGCCGTGTCTCTAGAGGTCTCACCGCTATACCCACACCCGCAACCACAGACAGAACACTCCGGACAGGTTCGTGATTGGGAGGGGGGAGGAACCCAAGTAAGTTATGAAGGGTTACAGTATCATGACACTCCTCCCACCAGCCATCCCACCGATTTTTCTGCACTCCAAAACGGACCAGAGGGATAAGTGCAATGCTGGCCATAACAGAGCTATTATATTACAGTCTGTTATAGCTTGCCCTGGCACGTAAGCATGTGCCCTATGAAAAGTTTTCCACTGTTTCCAGCGAGACGATTGGGCCAAGAGCTATACAGCACATTATCACGCCGCCTAATCCAAAGCCTATTAGACATCCGCTGTATCAATTTAATTTTTTTTTAGCTCAGAAAATGCCGTGTACCAAGAGTAGTAGCCTAGGGCCCAGCGTGCTTATCCACCCGTTTTCTCTCCGACGATCATTGTCAACGCATCTACGGATACGTCCTCGACTATCCACAGATATCCCACGCCCCCTCAAGACCGGTTCCGTAGATCTCTGTCTGAGATGATTGCTGGCGGGAGGTGAGCTTTTCTTTTTTTTTCTCTTTGGCGGAATTTCACAAGTCAAAGGTTGCACATATTTGTGGGTGAGCTCGACATGTCATAAAAAACCATAATGGGCAGCCGGAGGCCGGCTTGCCTTATCTGGATATGGAGCAGCATCCCACTCCGGTCCCGGTTAGCACCTGCCCCCAGCGAATCCAATGGCAGGCACAAGAACCTCCCATCCGATGGTGAAACGATGTTTCTTGGGAGGGGGAAATCTCAAAGGATGCGGCTGGCTGCTGGCCGGGGCCTATGAGTTGGTGAAAATGGCGAATAAATGGTCATTTCTGATACGCGGCTATGGTATGCCAATTATTTCAAAAGGGGAAGCACGCTCTTGCCATTTCCCTACCCGTATATGCTGCGGGTAGAGAGAGAGGCACGAAATACCCTCCAGCCTCCTCTCGCGAAGCTATTCACTTGGCTAGGAGTGTGATAGTAATCCCTTTGTACAGTGCCGTACTCGTAAAGGCAAAGGCCATTTCGCAAGCGAGCCGCCGCATGCGAGTGGTCGGGTGCTGTTACACTTTACGTCATCAACATTTTGTGGCGTCGTGGCGATCCCATAGCATGAACGGCCGTTCGTCCATGAACAGTGCAATTGCAAATGGGACGGGCTGACTTCCCACCCCCTTATGCTCGGCCTTTCTTCGCTTTGAAATACCGGTATACTCATCAATAGGCTGCCACTGGCTATCACCCCCAAACCTCCATTTTGACACCGATTCCGGAGGTCTGCGGCAAGACTTGACTCGCTTGCTTTTGGGAGTGCCGGTGGCCCGTCTGGTCGACACCAAAGCACAATGCTCGAGTGGAGAGAGGGGGGGGGCACACCGCCTTGGGTTTGAAGAGCGTCTTTTTCGAATGCCGGGTTATCATACTTCTGGCGGATCTGCTTCGCTACACACATCCGGGTCCTTCAACTCGGAAATTTTGCATGGCCCATTTTTTTCCACCCCCTGCGGGGGCTGAATACCGCGACAATCAAGCTGTTCAATTGCTAGGGCAAAAGGTTTCCCAAATACTGATCTGACTAATATTTCCCTGCCCCGTAATGATGAAATTCCCTAACCGCCCATCGGGACCTTGCAAATGGCATATGGTAGCAACATTGGAAACAAATTTCGGGATAAAACTCCGCAATAACTCAAACCCCCCAATGGTCTCCGCAAATCTGTCGAGGAAGCTCCTCTCGCCAACCCATTTGTGCCAGCTCAGACGTGCCGTACGGTAGGTCCCTAGGGCGGCCTCCAATGCGGCGGGAAGCTGTGCCGCACGAGTCCATCAAGCGGGGACCTATATAAGGGAATTGCTCACTTGAACAGGTGCTGTGCCGACCGATTACTATGCTGCGGCATAGAGAGGTAACACAGAGCAGGGGTGTTGGTGTTGATTTGGGTCGGAATTAGTGGTGCGCGTCGACCGGCTCTTCTGAAAGCATGAGCCTTCCACTGATCAACAAGCAAGTGCTTTTAGAGAGTGTTTTTTTTTTGATAGATGTAATTCTGTTGATTGACCTGGAGACTAGGCACCTGATCCGTCGATTACACTCGTTCGAAGTTTGCCGAGGCGAGAGGGAATAGGGGTCCTCTCGGGCCAGGTTTCTCTGCTGCACTCGAGTGCCGTATCCTACCGCTGCTACTAAGTTACTGGAGTATTAGTTATGCACCGTATACCGGTAGTACGAGTACTCGTACAGTACCGCATTCTTATTATGCCTGACCCTTGTACATATCCCAACATTGAAATTGCAACTCTTGGCACTTCACTCTGAGCGACCAGAGCAGGAGAAAGCATGCTGTGAGACTTTCGAGCTACCTTTGGCCCGAACCCTCAGTCTACTATTATTATTATGGTTTCTTGTTGGAACACATGTCGGGATTTGAAGACCGGACGCAATCCCAGGATATCTCCCCTGGCCCTTAAACGCTGCCGTGAGAAGGAGCACCGGTCAATTCCAACTCGGGCACCACCCTACGACACAAAATACTATTCGCACACTTTCATGCACTACTGCACCGTATGTGCTTCCGAGTGCTATCACACCAAGGACCTATCTCGTAGTATCCCATCATGGAGACGAGCGTACAGTATGCAAACGCCTCAAGCGCATACCAGACAAAAGGATTTCACGTATTATGCGGAGAAGGGGGTGGAGAAACCTTAATGGAGGTATTTCTTAAAACGCCATCTTCGTTGCGGTTAGCCTAGCTGTTTTCACGCACGGAATATGGCAGGGAATTCGTGGCTACAGTAGTAGCCCGTAGATAGCTCAGAGGACGGTTGCAATGGGAGATAAGAGTCCTAAATTCAAAAGAGCCGTCTATCTCTTCACCTATCCCCCCACCATGATGGTAAACATTTAATTTGCGCAGAAGAGCCGGGTTTGCCTCACCGATAGACATATCCTGCTCACAAAGTGACCTGCTCACACACAGGGGGAAAGGGGGGGGGATAGAAAGACCACGGAGTAGGTATCTATGATATAGCAATTTCACAAATACAGGAATGTTCAGTTCACGAGCCCTTTTTGCGGTTCGGTGCTACTCGAGTACTTGACTCACCACTTTTACCACCACGACTGCTCGTATAAAACACCACCACCGCCACCACAATATGTACCGTACACTGCTGATATCCTAGGATCCATTGAACCCACCAAGTCATCACAGCATCATCATCACCACGCTGGGGGGGGAATCATCCGTCAGCTCAAAGGAACCTTTCACAAAAGTTACACCTTCACTCCTATCCCCATCCCCTCAAATCCTCCTAGTGGGGAGAAGAAAGGAAGAAAATAAATAAAAATAATAAAAATCCAACCGGGCCTGCTCCATCTTATTAGGAATATGGGAAGTAGAGGAAATGATCGGAACGAAGCTTTTTTCGGAGTGAAGCGTATCCGGGAGCAAAAGGGTTGTTGGATAGAACAAGTGTGGTATCATATATAGATACACCGAGTGAGGGGGGAAGGGGGGGGGGTTCAACCAGACAGGAGGGGAAGGGTATGAGAGGGTTTTTCTCAGCTCTAGCGTGTATAATGGCCCACGTATATATATATATATCCATGTCTGTCTGTCCGTCCACTACTATGGTGCGTGATACCAGTATAAATAGTCCACATACGAGTATACCCAACATGAAAAACAGAATGCAACCCCGAGTGATGACCCATGACACACTCCCGATTACCGACCTAAGCGCGCCGCGCAACCTGTGAAAAACCCGACAGGGAAAGGGGTGGGAAGAATTACCCGCGCTACCCCCCTACAGATCCACGGTATTTCTCCTCGGCATATGAGCAGAGCCAGAAACGCCTCCTGATCGGCGCGCGGTACAGTACGGGTGCTACAGTAGTAGCGGTGACGACAGCAGATCGGACGGAAGCGGAACAGCTTTGATTGCTGTGTTTCCGGGATATGGTGGTCTGGGGTGTGGGACATGCATATGGCATGATCGGCATTCTAGGGTTTGGGGTCGGCGGCGGCGGCGGTGATGGTGGAAGGGATGCATTGTTGACGGTTGGTTGGTTGGATGGTTGGCTGGGATGAATGGGTCATATCTTTTCACTCGTTTTCCTGTACTTTGTCTCTGGTCGGGTGGTGGGACTTGAAAGGGAGGGGAAGTGAATTAATATGTATACTGGTAGGAATGTACGGTACAGTTGGTGAGGGTAAGTATATGAGTGGGAAGGGTAAGGTGAAGGAAGTAAAGAGGGGGGGATGACTGAGGTATTAAGCTCTCGGTTTCGTTCTATGATAGTATACAATCTATAGGTACAAAGCCTTTTTTTCTCCCCCACTTTGTGGGTGACACACGTGATCATAGAGAGGGGTTTGGTGGCTATGAAGTGACATGAAGTGCTAAGAACTTGTATACGAATGTGAAGAAGAGGAAGAAAAGTTACCTCCTTTCTCTCTCCCCTTCTCACATTCTAGGACCCCCTCGCCCTGAAGAAGTCATCCTCTTCATATTCATCCTCATCGTCATTATCATCCAGCGCTCCTCCCTCCGCAACCTCCACTTCAATAGCTTCTATCCGCGTGCCTGCGATGGGATGCTTGCTCTTGAGCGCCTCCCTCCGCTCTTTAAGCTTCAAAACCCTCTGTTCCAGACTCTCCATCTCCTCAAACTCGTCGAGCAGTTTCTGCTTGGCATCCTCCTCCTCCCCCTTGCCATAGTCATCCTCATGGTCTATCCGTTGCTCCTGCCCCCCCGCAGCGCTGTTCAGCGTCGGCGCAGCTGTGATCACCGTCGCCACGGGAGGCACACCGGGCGTTGGCGCTGACGACGCCTCCGTCGCGACCTCGGCCTGAAACGCAGCCCACTCGCCCTCGTCTATGTCCTCCATACTACTCTTTTGGAAGAAGTCTTGCGGTAGTGAAGCTGTCGCTTCTGAGATAGAATTGCTATCCGAAGTGGTAGTGGCGGTGGGTTTTGAAGCTCGGGCATCTAGTGTCATCGGCCGTTCGTTGCTGATGCTGATGCTGACGGGGCCACCGGAGAAGAAGTCTGCGGGTAGGTTTGCTGTTGTCGGGGTGGACATTCTGGTACGTTTTGAAGATGAGACGGAGCTCTCTGAGAATGGCCTTTTCCCGGACGCGCGAGGGGGAGGCGGTGCGGCGGGGGTGTTTTTATTGTTGGCTTCGCGTTGGCGACGTTCGGCTTGTAGGAGTTTGCGGACGTCGGCCATGGCTGCGGTGGTGGAAATGTATTTTTTACTTTTATTTATTTATTTGTGGAGAAGAGCGACGTGAGCAAGTAGTGGTTAATAAAGTACCGCAATGGGATGAGAAGGGGTAGGTTAAGGATATATAATGGGGATAATGATGTAGCTTGTAATGTTGAGCGCAGTATGCAGCGGGATTTATGGTAGGCTTTGAAAGAGAAGCGATGGAAGGGGTGAGATATGAAAATTACAGGCGTGGTGAGTTGTGCTGGAGTTTCGGTGATGATGGTGAGCTCCAGGTCTGCGGCTGTATGGGTTCCGGGCCTTGCGAGTGGTCAAGGGCTTTTTCTTCGCCCTCAACGAATCAATGCGAGGGGCTGATTTCTGATTTGTTCGGCAGGGCGAGAGTCTGGACAGCGTCCGTTTCAGGAAATTACGCGAAAATCCCTAGCCACATGCCGCACGGGTTCTCAAATAAACGCAATCAAGGTGTAAATATGGTCATGATCCTCGGATTGGCAGTGGAGTCGGTCGTTCTGTTGGTGCTTCTCCGTGCTGGAAGGGTGAAAGAAAGAGAGATGGAAGAGAGGGGATGAGCCCTCGCTTCTTTCATCATCCATCGTCGAGTGAATAGTTTGCTCTCACCGCCACCAACCACCATCAGGACAGCTTCCTTTCCTTCTCCCCCCCTACGCTATCCTTCCCCTCTCGCTTGGCCTAACAAACTTACTCCATCAAACATTTCGATATCTCATCCGCCAAATCCGCCCCCACCAGCAGCAAACCTTCCGCTTCGAAGTAGAGAAGGACGGAAAAAAACGGGTGGAGAGATTCACCTGTTCTGGAGCAATCAAGAGAGAGATAAGAGGAAGCAGGAACGAGAAAGAGAAGAGAAGTTTGGGAAATTGGGAAGAGAGAGAAAAAGGGGTTGGAGAACTTCCAATCTCTCGTATATCTTTGGTTGTGAACACGACAAAGCAGTTGATTCGTGAACAGCAGAAAAGGATAAGGAGAAGAAGAGTAAGAAGGAAAAGGAAAAGGAGAGGAACCAGAAGCAAAGGAGGTCACGAGACTATCCGACCAAATTTATTCGGAAGAGAAGGAGGGGTTTAGCCTTGTTTACAACCATCCGTCCATTCTTTTCTCCCTTCCAGACTGCTTATTTCATCAAAACTGTATTCTGATATTTTTCCTCTCTCTTTTTCCTTTCCTCTTCCCTTTTATTCTTCTGCGCTCCTGGAAGAGAAGGTTGGCAGTTTGGGTGGATTTGAAAAGAAAGTTTTCTCGGAGACTGCCTGTTTACTTGCCTGCCCTGCCCTGCCCCACTACCGTACAGTAGTTGCGCTTTCGTGTAAAATTTTCGGCTGTTGGGGCTAGCCATCGCCAACCTCAATCCATCCTTTCAACCAACAACGACCGCCAACTACTGCCACCCTCACTACCAACCCCCCCCACTCCCCACTAGATACATCACATCCTCCGTCGCCGTTAGACACGCGACAAAGGGGTAATTCTACGAGAAAGCTTTTATTCTCTTGACGCATACGAGATCTAATTCACCTCAATTCATGGCTGGTATGCCCGACGCAACCCATCCCAATTTAAGAACTCAGTGCTTTTTTTTTTTCTTTTCTTTTCCGTGTCGCTAACTTGGTTTTATCTGCAGAGCCGCGTCGCAGTGTCCGTTCCACGAAGGGCGTGAACAATCGCCTCTCGGAAATTGGTACGGATGTCGCGTCGCCTACACCTAATACTCCCGTTCCTTCAAAGTCGCGAAAGAAGTCCGCTGCGAAGGGTCGCGTCACGCCTCCTCCGCAGTCCGAGTCGCCCAAGGATGAGGTCGAGGAGAAGGGCGGGGCTGACGATATCATTCGCTGTGTATGTGGCGCAACGGAGGAAGATGAGGATGACGACCGGATGATGATTCAATGCGAGGGTTGTGATGCCTGGCAGCATACCGCTTGTGTGGGAATTGTCAAAAAGAACATCCCAAAGGTTTACTTTTGTGAGGTTTGCAGCCCGGAGCATCACAAGTCTTTGTTGGCGCAAATGGCCAAAGGGGAGAAACCTTGGGAGAGGCGCCCGGGTGGGAGACGGGCCAAGGGGGCCAAGGGAGCGAAGGGAGCGAAGGGGACCAAAAAGGGTACTACTACGCCTGTGAAGAGTCAGAAAACTGAAGTTACGCCTGCTAGAAATCCGAAGAAGAGGGAACCGACTCCGGTTCCTGTTGTGCCAAAGGAGCCTACCCCGGTGCCCGAGCCCAAGGCTGCCCCGGCAAAGAAGGCCACCCCGAGGCGAAAGAAGGCAGAAGTGAGAAAAGAACCAGAGCCTGTTGCAGAGCCCGTTGTGGAATCTGCGCTAATAGTGGAGGAGGACAAGATGGATGTTGACGTTCCTGTTGTACCGGAAGCTCCAGCGGAGCAGACCCCTGCTCCGGCCGAGCCTTCCGAGGAGATAGACCGTGAGCGTACGGTATCCATGGAATTGTCTCCCGCAAAGGAAGCCGAAATCCTGGGTGCTAAAAAGCCCACAGCAGTTGTTGAGATACCGGCAGATCCTAAGACTGTTGGGTTTGCCAAATCTCCTGTGATGTCTCGGGTCGATGATTCTCATCCCAAGTCTCCCTTGGCTAAATCTAAGGACCATCGGCCAAAGGTGGAATTTCGGAGGGACTCTGTCGTATCTAGCAAGCGAAAGGCGACCGACGAATCCGATGGCGAATACAAGGCAGATGACGATAAAGTACCTTCCCAAGGGCCACAACCTCAAATTGTGCCGGCTAACAGGCAGAAGCAGCAGCCCGGTGGGAGAACTCGCCGTGTGTCTTCAGCGACTACGGTCTCTGTTGATGCCACACCTACGAAGACGACGCCAGAACGTAGACGCTCATCTGTACAAAAGCCGCCTCCAAAGAAAGTGAAGCAGGAGGACAATACGCCTCAGAAGGAATTGGTAGGGTCTGTTGATGAACTCCGAAGTGAGAGCCGTCGTAAAGTTGTTGCACATATGATTTCTTCCTTGCTCGAAATTGCGACTAAGCTAGTCAATGAGCATGATCTTCATCTTGGAAAGGACGAGACCGCTGAGCAACTATGTGACAAATTATGTCTGGAGGTAGAGCATCATGTTTATTTGATATTCTTCAAAGATGGTGCCCTATCAAAGGAATACTCTAGGAGAATTTTTTCAATCACACATAATCTCCGCGCCAACAGTTTACTGAGTACGGAGCTGCTGAGGGGTGGTGTTCAGCCGGCACAGTTGGCAGCAATGACCTCGGAACAGATGGCCTCTAAAGAACTTAAAGAATTCCAGCAGCAGGTGAGATTACAGTCGGAGAAGCATCACACCCTAATTACGGAGACTGGCCCGCGAATTCGCAGAACGCATAAGGGTGAGGAAGTTGTAGGTGAACCAAAGGAGGGGATGTCCAATGGGCAGGACACACTACTATCCGGCCCAGTATTGCCTCTCTTGGAGCACACCGACAAACCCGCGGCTTCCTCGAAATCACCTACGGAAGATCTCAAGGATTCTAGTGCTACGCCTGATCAAGGGGATGCTGAACAGAGCACGCGACCAACTCCTATTGACACTAAGAGTGCTGAGAAGAATCAGTTTAACATTGAGAATGTCTGGAACCATGTCGAATCACCTGACACGGATAAGGTCCCAAGACAGTTTGGGTTGGGTATAGCTCCTCCTTCAGCACGCGTTGCCGGTGATAGCAAAATTGATAAGGATATCGACATGCTCCTGAAGGAAGATGATGGTACTGGGACACCACCGTACTCACCCGCGATGTCGGAGTCGGATCATTATTCACCAGCCCAGATGGAGGAGGAATCCATATGGAGAGGGCGAGTGGAAATGAATGGCATAGCAAGTTTGTCTTCTACGGCTCGTCTTATCGGGGGTCTCGAGTACGTCGGATCGTCAAAATGGTATGAGCTTCTGTCAGACGTTCTACAGGTCGACGGCCGTATAAAGCACGATCGGGCAACGGAGTACTTGTGCGGTCAGAAGTTTTCCAAATCCAGCTCACTTATCATGGCATCGTTGACTCCAACGGACTCAAATGCGGATCGGGAGTTCAACATGTTATTTGACTATTTTAAGGAGCGAGATCGCTACGCTGTTGTGGGAAAGCATTTGCTCAAGTGTATTAAAGATCTTTACATTGTGCCCATCGACACGAACGATAATCTTCCAGACTGGTTTAACGTGCTCGATCCACCACCCACGGTTCCGGAGAGCGGTAGGGACAGCAGACTTCTAGTCATCATATTTGTCGTTATCCGCAGTCATGTCGGTCTCTCGGCCACCGCTCCCACGCCGACTACGTCTGAACCGCCATACCCACAACAGCAACAGCAACCGCAACACACCCGTCTAACAGAACAGCCATACGCATCCCCAATCACACACACCCCGCAAGCGCAATATCATCAGCAATTGGCATACTCCCCGCAAACTCCACAGCCCCAGCAGCAACAGCAACCCCCGATATATAACTACCCCACGGCCCCCGGCGCCTCCTCCCCCCAGCAGCAACAGCAACAACCAGCATACAATACATATCCATACCCTACCCACAATGGTAGCTCTACATCCCCACCACCCGCATCCGCATCCGAAACTGAGACCGCGCCAGCACCGGCGGAAGAAACCGAACTCTTGCAAATGGCCCGGGACCTCCAACGTATGATTCCAGACCTCCCTTTTGACCAGCTCCTCGTGATCAACAACATGCTCAAGGAGAACCCGGAAATGCAGTCAAACGATCAGGAAATTGTCAAGTTGGTTGAAGCTCATCTTGGTGGCGGTAGTGTGTACTAGCTTAGTTTAGTTTGGTGCTTCGCCTCTTTCCTTTTTCCCTTTCGCCCAGTCTCGGTATTTTCGTTTGTTTTCTTCCTTATTCGTTTGCTCCCGGTATTTGTATTCCACATGGATTTCATTTTCATTTTCAATTGCTGGGCTTCGCTGGTCACTTTTCTGCTTGTTTGTGGGTCGGGGGGCGTTTAAAACTGTTTTTGTCTTTCTTGCTGCATGCTATGCTCGATGGATGGGTGAAGATGGAGGAGTAGGACAATGGCTGGCAGTAGTGGTAGTGGTGAGCAGGGGGAGGATATCACGAGAAGTGTTGTGCGGGGAAAGTACAGTGTCAGTCGGTGGATCGTGTCTTGTAACACCTATTACATTTTCTCTTTTTCATTTTCCTTTTTTTATTTTATTTTCCCTTTCTTTTTATTTCCTTTTTCTTCTACCTGAACCCAAAACCATTAAGTAAATTTATTTTTTAAGTCACCGTATTGTCAGCTATTCTCCCTTTTTTTTTTATGATTTTTTTTTGATTCATTCGTCTATTTCACATTCTCTCTCTTTATCGCTTTGGCAAAAGAGAATGCTTGAACGAACGAATGAGGGAATCCCTGATACCATTGCCTGTTGATTGTTGAGTTTACTTCCCATGTTTTAACTCGCTCTCTAGCTTTTGTTGCCGTTGGCTTTTTCTTCCCTTTTCTTCTTTCCCCATGGGTTAACTATAGCTGGTTTTGCTTCACTAGTTTTCGTACGTTATTAGTTAATCACCTGCAGTTGCTAGTGTCCTATTCCTGTATTTTTTTTCTTTTCTATTGCTTTGCTCTATTCGTGATTGTCGGAGGAGGAGGACGAGATAAGGTGGAGAGAGGGAGGGGAAGTGTAGTAGTAGGCGAAGCTGGGCATTTTTTTCTGAGTGGAAATAAAATTGAGGGTTGAAAAATTAGAGAAATTAGCTCCTGGGGATGTTGCCTGGCTATCCGGTGTGACGCGATAGATTGTGTTCTGTTGTGGAGGATATGCACTACTATATTCTCCGAATATAAAGTGTTGTCGATAGTACTGCAGGACATCCCACTTTGTTCTGCCGGCGCTATTGAGGTCCACCACTTCACCTTTACCACCTTACCATAGATGCTGCTCGAGTGTAGCTGTTGTGCTATCATCGTAGCAAGTATATCACCAAAAGGCCTTGACTTTTTTTTTTCACCAACTAACTCATATAAAACCCCCCGCTGATATGTATCCACTGGTGCGCGCGCGATCTCATTAATATCCCTATCCCCGAATTCACATTTCTCACTCTTCTGGATGTAGATATGCTCCACGTGGGGTTCTGGATGTGAGCCATCAAACCCTACTTTCGTAAGGGGGCACTACCACGCCAGTAGGGGGATATGGTAACCCTGCAGAGGCATGAGAATTTGGTGAATCCATCGAGTGGGGGGGGTTTCAGGAAGGAATTGTGTATGATGCCATTCACTTAAAACGTGCATCGTGCACCACGCAACATGTAACGCTCAACCCTCCAAGAAACCAGCACTATACCCTAAACCCAGTGTCTTCGGAAAAAAAATGTTAAACTTTTCTTTGCAACTATCATACTTTGTATATTTAGTAACATGTCAATTTCAAGACTGCTCAATCAAGTATCGATGTTTTAAACCGGATTCATCCTGACTGCTCGTCTGAAGCCCAGCTAGCTATTACCTAAATTAGCACAGATCTACTGATGGGACTTGGACATTTTTGGTACGAGATTTTTGCCGCATTGGTATGGAGTATATGTACACGCTCAATGGGCTCTTGGAATTAACGGGTTATTAAATGTGTGAAGTAGTTATGAATAAGAGTTAGCATTTTTCTAAAGATGCTGGGTCTAGGGTAAGGTGCTAGTTTCTTAGAGGGTTGAGTGTTGCATGTTGCATGGAGCACAGTGCACGTTTTGAGTGGTTGGCACTATATAATATAGGGAGCTGGGTCTGGTCAGAATGACTACCCATCCATCCATGGAGATTCAGTATCTGTAATGATGCTGGTGGTGGGGAATTTGCTGGTTTCTGATTATTTACTCACTGGGGTCTTATTTGGCGTCCTATTTGGGCTATTGGATGTGCCATTTTGTAGTCATTACTTCTGGAGAGTCATACGCGCGCACACTGGGAGGGTATGATAGCTCTATCACACTTCTCGAACCCGTCGGAAATTTGCGTAATCTTGCGAAACATGAGTGGTGTCGCGCTGTGCCGGGAGTCTCCTGAAGGTCGATATGACTGGGGATTCATCGATAATCACTCGACGGGAACTTAGTAGATTGTGGTGAAAGAGCAGTGTGAGAGATGAGAGAGCAGAGTAAAGGCAAAGGACGTATAGGATAAGTGAGCTATAAGAGGTAGTTCTGAGGCCGGGAGATTGAGGGTTTTCTTGTATTGTCTTCAAGACCTGTGACCAACATTGCGGTATTTGTGCTCGTAGACAAGTATCTTTATACAATGATATGTGTCCCGGCATTCCACTCTGGACATACTTCCATCGCAATGAAGAAATGTCTTCTATAAAATTGGGCGCTAAGTTTGCACGGTGGGCGGCGTAGTGCACTTCAGTAGAGTACAGTACAGCAACTTGCCTTAAACATGTCGGACACGGATAGCCAGACCGGTATATATAAAAACGCTTTAGGCCGAAATGGAGGTGTATAGGGAGGGCGGAGTTTCCACATGGCCTACAAAAAATGAAGAAGTAAGACAATTCTGGTTTTTGATGGCACCATTGGCCCACAAATCTTGAGAAATAGGAATCTCGCGGATCTAACTTGTCTCCTCAGTAACGTCCTCCTCCTCCTGAACAAAATCCATCCATGTTATCAAGGCCACTTCAACTTATGGCTTTAGCCTGGCCCTCCTTTAATTTTGCGGGTTGGCCTTCTAAAATTCACTTGATGTAGGGAAACTTTGTTTTTAGCAGCACTTTGGGTGAAGACTCCGGGGAAAAGAGATTCTCTGGCTCGGCATTGAATAATTTTTTTCTGGTGCGGTGTACTGTTCTCTAGTATTCTACATTGCAGGTGTAATTTATGGTATTGCAGTGTTCGGAATGCCGTGACCTACGGTGTTATTCGGACACCAATTTCCCAGGACACGGCAGGACTGCTCCTGTCGGCTATGGAGATTGTGTATATTCGTGACGCTAGATCTGGTAATCGGATAGAAAGCCACGAGAAGGGAAGAAGGGTTGTGGTGGGAAAGGAGGACCAGAGGAGGATGGGATATCTACTCCAGATACTTGTGTATGGGGCCATTTGATCGCTCTTGGGAATTAGGGGTAGGATACCGGTGCTCATATTATAGAATGATCTCTATTATTTCCGGGGGAGTAATTTGGTTATCACCACCTTCCGCCTTATAAATTTGTCATAGACTGTCACTCGTCTTGGTTTAGGTTTTGGAGGGTAGGTATATGTAGCGTACGATGTGATGCGGGAGGCGCGGTGCGGTGCGCCAACTTTGCAGCAAGCTTACCAGACGCCGTTAGGGCGCGTCAGTAAAAAAAACAAAAAAAAACACTTTAGATCTCAATAGAGCTGTAAGAGGGGGGAGGGCTGGCATATTGCACAAGGAGGAGGGGGGGAAAACCCAATTTGGGTTAAATGCACGGCCAGCCTATGGAATTGCGGATAAGAGTGTCGTGGATCCAACCTAGCTCTTCCCCAGTAGTATCCTCCAATACAAAAACCTCCTTCCCATATGTCGCCAAATCCTCAGTTTGAAGGCTTTTGCCTAGCTATCCTCCAGTCTCTGCGGGTATCCGGATGAAATCCTGGTATGAGGAAACTTAGTTTGCTGGTAGTATCTGCGACGTGAACTCCTATGGCACGAGACGCCATTACCCGCATCAAATACTGTAGTGTGAGATATCGTTTTCCGTATCGTAACTTACGGCGGTAATTTACGGTACTCTGTGGGTTGTTTACAATACTGGGGCTTGTGGTATTTTTTCAAGCACTAATGTCCCGGGGCATGGAAGGGCTTTCCCTGTCTGGGTATGGAAGTTGTGTATTTGCGACACCCCCGCCCGGGCACGGAATATAATACGCTGGGAAGGAAATAATAATAATAATAATTGCGGTGGGAAAAATGAGATAAGAGGATGGGATATCCCTACGAACTCACTCATATGGTGTGAGGTATCTAAAATGTGTACCAAGAGCCTGTCAAAATGTAACGCCTTATGTTATTGGGGTATAGGGTATTAAATAGAAAGTATTACCTCTTGGTGGACAATTAATTTTTAGCATGATATCATACTAAATATCGTACTTGGATTGCATAAGGCGTTACATTTTGGAACCCTATTGGTTTACATTTTAGACACCTGACACCATATATCGGTATTGCTCGGCGCTGTGGGTCGTTCAATCACTCTTGACAAGCTAGGATAAGGTATAGGCGCGCATAAAATAGAGTTAGTTTCATAGTCAAAAGATTCTTTACTGTACTGGTTTTCCTTCATGGGCCGGGCTAGTTGTGGACATCCTTTAAAGCTCACACCTGAAGGGCGGTGGCGTGTAAACACGGCCTTGATTGAGCTGTGTCCATATGGTAACAGAAACTGGCCACCTTCACAATACCTTGGTTAATAGCTGGCTTTTCACGAGTATCAGATATACTTGCGCATCGTATTTTCCCCCAGGTATTTAAACAGCCGGAAGGTCTAAACTTTAGTGGGGAGAAAAGGGGAAAAAGGGAACTACGAAAGTAGAAGAATAAAGAAATAATAAATGTGCAGGGAGGGTTTGAAAATGGGGGGACAACGAGAGAGGGTGGAAGATGGAAATTTAAATCCACCCTGGCTTATCTTGTTATAGTAGAAATAACCCCCTGCCAACACCAGGTGCTATATTATAGATGAAAACTGACAAATCATGACCAGACCGCATAAGAAAATTCGGATTGAAGTTTGGAAGAGCATGCGGTAGGTACGTACATTCCCATCGGGTATGATCTGCTTTGACTAAAAGA